CGGCCCCTTAGAATTGGTGGTTAATCTATATATAGCTGGTCATCATTGTCAATGCTATCACTCTAAATCACTCCACACACACACACAGATCTGGATAAGAGATGAGGATTGATGGGTCATGGCTCGATGTTAGGGTCAGACACAGGTGAGCGGACAGTTTCCATTACTCTGTCTGCATTAAGGTCATGATCTATATAGACAATAGATATATTTTTCATGAACAGATTGTAAAATGTTCAGCATTTTATAATTGGCAATATTTGTTTTGGTACTGCAAGTATCCAAAGAAACATGTTGAGATACCACCATAAATACTATCCAACTATTTGTATAAAGCAGGCTTCATTAAAATCTATAACATTCTATATTTTCATTAATCAAGTGAACATATTATCAAAAGAGTTACAAGTAGATAACTAGATATTGGTTTGTCACTTCAGTATCCTCTTCTCTATATGTTTTTTACATCTATGTGTGTATGTGTGTGTGTGTGTGTGTGTGTGTGTGTGTGTGTGTGCTCACTGTGCACTGGGAAGCTGAGTGTACGTGTGTTGAGATGATCACGGTTCTTATTGTTGTTGGTATCTGGGGAGACAAGAGGCTTTATGTTAGCCATAGTCTATGATGCCTGTGTGTGTGTGTGTGTGTGTGTGTGTGTGTGTGTGTGTGTGTGTGTGTGTGTGTGTGTGTGTGTGTGTGTGTGTGTGTGTGTGTGTGTGTGTGTGTGTGTGTGTGTGTGTGTGCGGGAGAGAGAGAGAAAGAGAAAGAGCGAGCTGATCGTGTGGTTATAGACTGTTGGACTTGGTTGTACAGTAAATCCCTGTCTTTGTAAACAGATCAATAAACTCCACTGTAGGTGTTTTTCTGTATGTGTGTATGTGTGTGTATGTGTTCCTACTAAAGCTTCTTTGCTTTAAGGAAGGGGCAGCATGTTGGAAATGTAGCAGGAAATAACAAACAGATTGATCACAGCTGTAAGCAACATCCAGCACTGTATTCATGTTGTATTGAACATAAAAGGTCATGGATTTATTCTCTTAATTCTGTTCTATTCTTTCTCCACTTCCTGTCTCTGCTCAGACGTCAGATTATTCGTCCATGGCCTCACTAGCGGGAGGACTGGACGAGATGAAGAACAGTTTGGGTAATCCTGGTACAGGGGCGGAGTTAGGAGCCAGCGTGTCGGGTCCACAGTCCTATTCACTTGTTCCAGGTAAGAAAAATATCCACCATTTAACTTCACTCATGCTCTGAAATAGACTTTTTGCTAACCAATTAAAAATTGAATAAGATATAAGTGATAAGAGTGCATATAACTACAACATCTCAGGTTCAATTTCTTCCTCAGTATCATTGTTGTTTATGGTACCACCCTTTCTCTCTTTCCCTCTGACATTTCTACCTGTCAAATAAATAAATAGTAAAAAATGTGTGAAGCATAGTCAGCAATGTGAGTTTGAAGTCAAGTGTGGTTATATTTCACCTATGGTAAGAGACCGGAAAGTCAAACACATTTTTCATAACTTTAGTAAATTCTAATAAAAAACAAATGTCAACCTAACAGAACAGGCTTTATTTAGCTAATTAATAAAGATGAAAAGTCAGACATTGGGTGAGAATATACATTTGCAAGCTTCCCAAATGGCAGGCTAACACAATCTGTCTGTCCGTTCGTCTGTCTATAATGTGATTCATTTCATTGCCCTGATTCTGATCATAACTAATTACATATAATTTATAAATTATATTAAAGGGGACCTATCATGCAAAATGCACTTTTGTACGTCTTTTATACATGAATATGTGTCCCCGGTGTTCCAGGGAACTCACCAAGTGTCAGAAAACACAACCCTCTCTATTTTCCTCCATACCCAAATCTCTAAAAACGGGGCTGCAACGGATCTGATAAAAACTGATCCAGATTTGAACACGTTACTGACATCAGGACGGTGGCGCTACGGCTATTGGGCCAACTCTCCACCTATCAGGGGAATGTGGGGTTGGGCCACGGCCATTGCCGCTCGAAAGCGCTGGAGACGCTGTAGTACATATGCCAGGCCTGTAAGTGGCGCTGTAGTCTGCCACAAAAGCAGCGAAGAAGACTTCCCGCGCATGGTTGCCATGGTTGCCCTTCTGTTTATTCTTCGCTGTGGCTCTTTTTCTCCCTCCCCGAGGCAAGCGTTTGCTCCTGCTGCTGTAATTCAATGCAATCCCTCCCCGTCGAGGCAAGCACTGTAATTCTCTCCGGTTAGTCCACCAGCAGATGACAAACACCCACCTCTCCGCCTCTTCCAAGGAACGAGGGGACCGTGCGGCAGAGTTTCAGTTAGGTTTTTTTTCGCCGTTCAAGATGTCCGTTAAAGTTTAAATCTTCCGGACAAAATTAGAAAAGTGCCGGTCAAAGGTCTTCTTTGTTATTTATTGAGCTTTAAAACAAATGAATAACGACTCTACAGTATATAATAATATAATAAAACACGGAGAGCGGAGATCTCCCCCCTCTTCTGACAGCCCAGCAGCTGATCAGAGCACGCTCTCCGCTCCTGCAGGGGGACGTGGTCAGCTGCAGCTCACAGAATCAGCCCCCTGCAAAAACAGGGCTGGAAAAAGAGCAAATGGAGCGAAATGAGGCATGGCTAAAATGCAGGATCTGTTTGGTATTTTGAAAAAAAAACTATATTTATATACTTTATATAGGTATGGCCCTACAATATATTGTTCAAATATAGCATGATACAGTAGGTCCACTTTAAATTAATCTATAGTGCACAGACCTGACAATAGCATTATATGAAAAATACCATGATTGATATTTACATACCGTCTACCTCAGCAGCTACATGGCCTCTATGTGATTGAGCCCGTTTAAAGATATCAGTGCTTTGGATCTCAGGAGAGGTGAAGAGCCCAGAGGACGGAAGGAAGAGAAAGGTGGAAGGATAGAGGAAAAGTGAGAGCCCTGTCTCTTCCTCCGTCTCCATTTAGGGGCGCTGGGAGAGGCAGTGGTTAATTAAGAGTAGACCTGGGAGCACTTGGCAGAGGCTTTGACGTTCCCATCTATAATGAGGGGAATCATAGAGCTGGGAATTTGGGATATCTGGGAATGGGCTCTTTTTTTGCCCTTTGAAACCACAGAGGAATATTACCTGCTCAAGTCAAAGGAGAAAGACAGAGACACAGAAAAGAAGAGAGAGAGATAACATTTCCATTTCTGCTTATGCATGCAAACACACATTCGTATTCACACGCACACACACACACCTTCTTAATATTATGCATGCATTTCCTGCCTGTCTTTTCCCTCAGAATAGAGCTCCCTCTAGGGGATCAGACGTCTGTGTGTTTGACGCAATGTTATTGCACCCTTGACGTGTTGATACTCTGGACACGCTGTAAAGCAACATTTACACATTCAATCTTCCTTTCTGAGGCTTTTCCAAATCTTTAGGGCATTTTCGTTTTAGTCTCAACCTCACCTACTCTACTCAAGTGCAAAAGGACACACTGTACACTCCCAAATCCCTCCAGGTTTGACATATGTTGTTCTGATGGCTGTTTGATGGGGAAGAGTAAGATAGGACGACAGTAAAAGAGAAAGGGAGGCAGACGATGCGTGTTCATGTAGCTGCAAGTGAGCATGGAGGAGACTTGTACTTGTTAGTTGACCTCTACGGAAAAGCTTTGGAGAGCAGATACATCAACACAACTGGCATACATATGCACAAATATACTGCGTGCACAGACAGAGCACAAACACACACACCACTGAGGATCTGGCCCTGTCTGCCCCCTCTAAGTTGGGCTGTAGAGAGTCCATCTCTCCTCGCGTCCACCCTCTCCTCCCTCTCCTCCGTGCCCTGTGCACTGACCCCGAGCGGATGAGTAGCCCGTCTGCACTAATGCCTCGCTGTCGCGTCAAACACAGAGAAGAACTTTACTACACTGAGACAGGAGAGAGGAGGCGGAGAGGGACAGAGGAGGCTGTAGTAAAGAGGGGATCTGTGAGAGAGAAACAAGTATACTAAGGAGGGGAAGAGACTATATAAATCTGCTGATTTGTACTTGTACCGGCGAGGCAAGCGTATAACACATAAACCTTTTTAATAAAAGGCCATTTTAGCCACGTCTGAGCTTTTCTGTAGAGCCACCATGAAAACATCTGATGTCTCTTATACTTTTGTTAATGACAAAATATTTCCTTCAGCCGTACTTTAGTGTTACCGGTAAGTTAACACATTTTAACACGCTAAGGTTATGAACATGGTAACCATTAGCCTCTGAAGAAAACAACCAATATTTGATGGGGTTCCGGTGAGGCAGGCGTATACCGGGCCAAGCCTTTCTATTTGTTGTGCCAATTATTATTTGCAGTCAATTTCAGACCATGTCTCCTACAAAAAAACATACGGAAATTACAAGTTAACTGCACTAGAGTTTAAGTTTTAAAATATGTGTTTAACTTTGTAAATTGAAACAAGACCAACCAAAACTGCAAACTAGGAAATGCATTCCGCATCTTTTGCTTTTCACTTTCACCAAAGACTGCCTACATTTAGTGTAAACAGTCAATACTACACTGACTAAAAAAGAAAAGCATTACATTTCTGTGACTTTAATCTTGACCTGTGCCTTAATTTGCATTTATATGTAGGTAACTGTTTAATAGAGATTATTGTACAACATATATTCGCACATTATGATATTTTTGCCATAAACTAATAATAACAACTGATAAATCAGCACAGCCAAATAGGTCTTGTTCTATTCCCAGTAATGGAAAGAAATGAAATCCCAGTTTAGTCTGTTGTGTTTCACACCATCTCTCCCTTCTCCTTGTCTTGTATGTTCTCCTCTCTATTTCCCAGCTCCTCCTGCTCCTCCTTTCAGTTAGTTAGCGGTGGTTAAGTGGAGGGGAAGTGAATGGGATTGATGGTGTTAGCATCTGAGCTGTTTATGATGATGATAAATGTGTGTGTGCAGGGGGCAGGGAGGAGGTGGGTGTCGATGCAGGAGTGTGTGTATGTACGTATGATGATGATGAATGGAGGGCTCCATTTTCACGCACTCCCAATGTCTACTGCGTGCAAACATAGAGAAATGATTCGGGCCGACACACTGTCATGTAGTCTAATGCAGTTATATATCCTACCCACCAGGTGACAGACAGAGGAAGGAGGGGGGAGATGGTGGTAACGAGAGAAGGGGGAGTTGGTAAATTAATAGATGTCAGCGGATAGAAAACGAGGAAATAATAAACAAAAGAAAGAGGGACATCCAAAATGTGCTTCTGCATTAGAATTTCAGTAAAGATCCTGTATGAAACCAAATTTAAACTTTTCACACTTTTTCATAGCATAACAGGTATAGCAAGTAGAATGAATACTTATTACGTGAATGTTGTTGATTACACCTGTGCTATATCTGCTAAAACATCAGTGTGAAGTGAACATGGCTAAATGATGATGTCTCAGTAAAAGTATTATTTATATATTACATTAACGCGTGTTTTTAACTTATTTCCTAAAGTCAATTAATTAATTTAAATTTCGATATAAAAATCAGCTCATGTAAAACGTTTTGTTTCTAGATCGATGAATCCATTATTCAATTAGCTGATTGACTGCAGACAAGCACACATCTGAATAAGAAATATAAACTTTAAAGCAAGTGTCAGAGCTCCTCCTAGTTTCTTACATTTAATGATCAAAAAGGTGACTGAATTTGGGTTTTAAGACGTTGGTTCATACAGGACCAAACATCTGAAGACATAGTTTTGGACTGGTATCAGTGAATGTACTAAATATATTGGTTTATGGCAGGTTTAATATAGGACACTAAAAGTTAGGAACTAGCAGAATTAATAGAGCTACAACCTACAAATATATGTGTGTGTTTGATTACAGGTCGAGACTTAGCCAGCACCACTCTGCCAGGCTACCCTCCTCATGTTCCTCCCACTGGACAGGGCAGCTACTCCACCCCCTCCCTAACTGGCATGGTACCAGGTGAGTGCCACGAAACGCACACCACACATACAGTTTCAATGTTCCCGTTTCTCGCTACCAAAAGTTACATTTATTCTGTCATTTCTTGCCACCCATCACTTAGCAGATCTTTAACTAAATACATATCGGTTTGAATTCCCGATGGATGTGTGTGTACCTTTAGGAGGTGTACTTAGCTTAGCCACTTCCTCCTTCTTGTCTGTCTACACACCATGGCTGACAGTGCTCCCAGGGGGTGGCGTGTGTGTGTGTTTCTGAGCGTATGTGTGTGTATGTGTGTTTGCGTGGGTGTGTCTCTCTGTGTATCATTAGAAAGCAGCCACAGTAGCACAGCTGTCCCTCCTCAACATTAGTAATTTGTTTTTAATGAGAATCACCAGTGACCCACGACTAATTCATTCATTCCCTTCCACTCCGCCTTCTACGCTGCTTTTGTGTTTCAATCCTGGATCTCCATTCTTCTTCTGTCTCTCCTCCTTTTCTCTCCTCCTCTCTCTTTTCTCTCTCTCTCTTTCTCAAAGTGCATTGCAGTGGTGGTCAAGGTTTAGTATACTGAAGATAATAAAGCGGTAAAACACAAAGCAACAGAGGCAGTGAGACAAAGTCAAAATGATGTTGTTTACAAGTTCTTGTCTCAGTGTATTCCCAATCATTCACTGTAACACACACACACACACACACACACACACACACACACTCCTAGGCTGACAAGCACACAAACACACACACTCTCAGCGGACATGTAGGAACAGCACGTCTAAAGATGGGTAACCCTGTCGCCCTGTCCCCCTGCGCTCACCCCGTCCTGTCCTCAGGTTTGACAGCATATTTGTGTGTGTGTGTGTAAGGGGTTGGTGTATGTTTATGTGTGATGGCATGCGATTGTTTGTGAGCTTGTGTGTTTTGTTCCAACAGTGTGTGTGAGTGTGTATGTGTGTGTGATGCGACCTTGACACTAAGCTACACGAGGGAGACCCCTGAGCGTCCTCACCCTTCCTTCCACCACCCCCCCTTTTCCTAAACAACCTGACACGTTGCCGTCACAACGGTGATGACAAGGGGAAGATGTTCGCACCCAGGGATGCCATGGAGACCGCATCCCGACCCCACCTGACAGACGCAGCTAAACATCCACACACATAAGCACACACACAAAGGGTAGTGGGAACCAGAAAATGTGTTGGGTTGTATATACAAACACACACACCCACACAAACAGTCTCAACATCTAAATTCTTCTCAGTGAATATTCGAAGCTGCCTGAATCCTTGAGCTGACTGGAGTGAGTGGAAGAGATAATCTCTCAACTTTGCTTCTCCAGCTTCGCCTTGTTTTATCTCAGCACTTCTCAGGCAAATTATCTTCCTTTTTGTCCGCTCTGTCTAATATCATACCTTCATTAAGCAAGCAACTCTGTTCTGCTGTTCTTCTTCTCCCTCTCTGTCTCTCTCTCTCCCTGCAGCAGGGGGGCTGACACTCAGAGGGGGTGTAGAGGAGCAGCGAGGCAGAACCGACAGAACGAGAGGGAGAGGGTTAGAGGGAGGGGGCATCAGGGTCTGTGACTGTCAGCTATGGGAGAGGGATCCCCCGGGAGCAGTGAAGGTTCAGGAGAAGAGAAAGAAAGAGCAAAAGAGTGGAAAAAAAGAGAGCAAGTCAGCAGAGAGATGTGTACACATTTCTTTTTTTAAATAGAGGAGAAGAAATGGGGAGCAATGTTGTTTTGATGTGAAGGGTGACGGGTGGGCTGTAGTCTGGTGGGCCAGAGGACGAGAGAGAAAAAGGGGTGAAGGGAAGACAAGAGGAAGAGTAGACCCCAGACAGTAAGTAGTAAATGAGGGAGAAAAGCTATGCTATCATCCACAAAACGAGAGGACCACTGCAGTGAGATCTCCTGTTCAGCTCCTCAACCAGTCTGCAAATCATTCTGCAGAAAACTAACGCCTGGTTAAAGCTTCATTATAAGCAAAAATCCTCAAACTACATGACGAATTTGCCATTACCATTTGTCATTAAAATAACAACTGCTGCTGTCATTTCATTCACATGCACCCAAGTATTCCAGATATGATAGGGCGTTTAGTACAGGTATGTTCAATAGGTGTTGAGAGCATTCACTTATACTAAAATATTTTAATGAGGTTGAGAAACTAACAAGCACTTAAATACAGCTGGATCGGGTAACGCAAAATAAAAGTCAAAGGCTCGGAAAAATTCAAATTCAAAGATTAAAACCAACAAAGGTTTAGCATTCGATTTCACAAGGGAAAGGTAAAAAAAACAAGATCATCCTTCTTATTCTTTGTTGTGTTTAAACATGCTCCGTTTCTTGTCTATGTTTTTTTCAGGGGGAGATTTTTCTGGCAGTCCATACTCCCATCCCCAGTATTCCACATACAACGAATCGTGGAGATTTCCTAACCCCAGCTTATTAGGTAGGTGTTTCTCATATCTCTGCACCCAGTTCTACCAACCAGAAATAGATCAATAATTGTATCAATGAATTTCATTTCCTTCTACCTCACATCACAGTTCCATCCTCTCTAATACTCCCTTGTAATATGCCGTATCTTTCATGCTCCACTCATTTTTTTTCAAGACATTACATTTCTTTCTGTATTGTATCGTACAGTACAATTCATCATAGACATACTAATGGTTCTGTGAAAAGATGATTTAAAAGACTGGCAATTTGGGTTGTGAATGGATCTGAATAAAAATGGAAGACAGCGAGAGAGAAAGAGATCAGACCATACTGCCACGAGCACTGTGCCAGACTACAATGAGCAGGCAATATTGCTTATAGACTCAAATTAAATAATCCTTTGGAAGGTAATGTTACGTCAGTCTTAAAAACAAGTTTTCAGACAACCCATGCAGGTCTGACGGCAAAATCCAGCACCCGCAATATAGAAAAATGTTTATTTTCTGTTAAATGATTAAAACTTCAATGTGCCTTCTGCTTTAGCATTAGAAGTGGGTGATATGACGATATATAACAGAAAAGATTTTTGCCATATCATTAGTATAGCATAATCCTTATATCTATGGAGATATGAGGCCATTGTGGATTAAAGACCAACAAGCAGCACTGCTTTATGTGTTACTGTATTTGATTTGTATGATTGTTACATAAAAGCAATGAAATGGGTCTGTCAGGTGTCAAATATACTGGATTTGCCCAAAAGAACAAAATAAAATTGTAACCATTTATGAATTCTCTGTTGATTTTCCAGAAAATGTATTTTTTTTATCATATATATCAATAATGTGATATGAATGTACATATTCTTCCACCTAATGCCAAAAACCATGGATCTCTTTAGCCTTCAAAACCCGTAATTGCAAATGTTATAATGAAATCTTGAAACTGAGAGGGACAATTAACCCAGAGGCAAAATCAGTCAGTGTCAAAGTCATTATCTAGGGAGCCATTTTAGAGGTCACGTTTAAAGGTGAAGCGGTCAGCGGCTGGCCGTGTAAAGGTCAATAGGTGAGAAGGTTGAGTGCTGTGCTGACCTGTGTCCCCCGCTTCCTCTCCTTACCTCGTCTCCCCCCTTCTTTCTATCCCCAGTGTTTCAGCAGGATTACGGGTCTCTCCTGGGAACGGAAATCGGCTGCTCCTCCAGTCTCTTCACCAGCCAGGCTGGACAGATGCAAGGTAGGAGGAGAAAGAGAGAAAGCTAGTCAACATATGCAACGTGTGACGATTCATGAGTCTGTGCAGAGGTGCAATGGTGAGGTGCATAGAAAGGGAATAGAAGAAAGGGAAAAGTTCCCTGTAAGGAAAATATCACTCGTCACCGGCTTGAGCTTCAATATCAGGATACATGTATTTATTATCCTTGCAAGAATGGAAGTAGTCATCACATATAGAGAATATGGTACAACTAGTTCCTCGAACAGTGTCCTTCACTTGCTTATATACAAGAGAGGCTGATTCATGATGTTAATCGTTGTCACATAGCTATCATATGCCTAAAACAGTGTGTCCTGATGCTTTTCTAGGTAATCATACATCCTGTCATGTACACAGCAACAGTAGGGCCTTTGTTATCATGTGCTATTCTGATATTGGCAGAGTACAATCAGAATTCTCCCAACATTTAGCATGAAAACGGATGAGCTGCCACATAATACGAGGACAACATGCACTGAAAAGGTTTGGGATTGATGGCAGGGAAGCTGTGAAACTGAGGGGGGGTTTAGAGAAGAGGTTACAAATAAAAGAAAGGGGAGTTTTTTTTTTTTTTTTTAAGGTAAAAGGGTAGAAAGGGCATCTGAAGTCTTGACTGAGACTAAATAGTTTGTCAGACCGGCTTAATGCCTCACTTCCCAGAAGAGCCTCCTGAGATTACCTGGACTGTGGACAGACATAACCTGTCAACACACAGCTGGGCTGATTGATGGAAGTGACAGAGACAGGTGTGTGTGTCGTGCTGTTTTTTCTGTGTATAAAAGGTGTGCATGTGTGGGTTTCTATATGGCTTTGGGGTTACAGTATTGAATTGACCTCTTCCCTGAGGAGAGAATAGACTCAAGGGATCAGCAGTAGTAGAGCTGTACTCAGTGTGTCAGCTTATACTGTCACTTAGATAGTGTACGTGTGTGTACGTGTGTATGTGGGTGTGAAAGAGAAGAGTGAACATGTGAGACCAAAAGAAGAGTGTCAGAAAGTAGACCCGAGTCCATTTTATTTGTTGTACATGACAAGTATACTTGTCATTAGCTTCATCTGCATGTCATCTCTAACCTGCCTTTCACTACTCACATTAAAAGTTAAATACATCTTAACAGAAAATTAAACCTGCTCATTCCAGATTTAAAATACATTTCATCAAAGAAAAGTAGTTAACGGCTATAAAAGATATATTAGAAGCTGGGATTTTTTTTGTTGTCATTTTAACCATCATTTATATAGGTACAATTGAAGTTTGAAAGTTAACTGCAGAAGTCGTGAGAAACACGAATAGAACATAGACTGTATATATAGGAATAGAAGCACGAGAATCGTACAAATTCAAATGTTGCACACTTTGAAACAAAATGGACTTCCAGGCGGGAATAGTTTTAAAATACAATTCTTTATTGCTTTTCATTCAGGAAATTAAAAAACACACGCACACCAAGGTAAACTGTCGACTAGGGCCAATGAATGAAACGCTCAATAAACATTTAAACTAACATTTAACAAACTAAATTGAAAATGACCGCTTGCCCGTTAAACCGCAAAACACACTGCACAAGTACAATACTATTTGTAGCAGGCTACAAGTGGTTAATCTACGGAGGGTAATACAAACAGGTGAAGCGCCGTTTCAAACATTTCTTAATTTAACGTGAACAACTCCGATAAAAGGCTAACAATATGTACTACTGAGAGTCTGTTACTCTTACACGTTCAATATACAACTCTGTAACAAATATCAGTTACTGCTCACCTCGAAACACATGCATATCACAGCAATGCATACTGTCTGGTCTAATGAATGACTCCTCCTGTCCCCACCTGAGGTCCCGTGTCTCACCTGAAGGACCTCTTAGCTGCCCTTAGTGCCTGTGTGAGCTTTACTAATTGTATTTTTAAATTCGACACATGACATTTATCAGAAGATTACCGATTAATCAAATACATCAAAATACTTGAATGCCCCCCAAAAAATTACACATGTTAATGAACGTTTCCGTGTCCATTATTATGCTCAACATTAAAGGGGGTCCCTAGATTAACCATATTAATTTGTAAAGTAATGTTCTTGCAGCTCTAAGAAGCATCAGCATCTTTTAACTGATTATTTGTTGCTATTCCACGTGTTTACGTTTTAGATGAACTCATACCACCTTGTTTCCAGATATCATGTAGCATGCATCTGTTTTCAGCAAAGACCTCTGTTAAACCACTGTATGTTACCTGCTCAAACCCAGCAAAGTTAGAGACAAGCATATGAACATAGCAGGCAAATTACTGGTTAAAAAACAAAATATCCAGATGTTATCCCCAGGACTTAGTGGAGAGCTAAAAGGGAGGTAGTAGTGTACTATTATTTGTCAGGTGGCCAGATAGGTTAGTGTAGGCATTCACCATAACAACTTTTTAAGGTTATAATATGTCAGTGTGATTAGAGCCTGTTATGCTTCCCCCAAAATTGTAATAATGCCGTTTTTAAAGAACCTGTTGGCTCAGCTGTAGCCACGTCACCACCACCCGTTAAGCACAATATCATTACCAATAGAAATAGGGCCAGAAATGGAAGAAACAAAACCGAAGTTTCAATAAACTGGACTCATCAAAATATATTCTTTTAAAAGAAATTGCATAAATGATTTGTTTCTGTGTTTCTTTTCAGGGTCTCCGTACTACTACAGTACATCAAGGGGGGCGGGGCCTGCTGCCACTGCAACAGCCTCCGCCTACGACCGCCACTGACCCCACCAACTATGAGAAGAGGAGGATGAAGAGAAGAGGAAGAGGAGGGACGAGAGGACGGATAGCACCAGCACTGCACAGTTCAAACCTGTCTACGCATGGACGACAATGAGAATGAAGATTTCAAATTTCTGACGTCAGTGAATTTAGAATTTTCTTTGATTGACACGTAAGCCAACAAACGCACTGCTGGGCAGCAAAACAGACATTCTTTATTGGTAATACATTACCATGAGGACACAGGCATGGCAGTGTCAATAACTGATGGAGATAGGACTGGTCAGAAGCAAGTGAATCTCCCGTAAAATATCAAGGCTTGGCATCCCTATCCAATCATCTACAAATCCAAGGAGTCAGTGGACAAAGTGTGCAACAGTGACTGAAACTGTATTGTGATCTTCTGGGTAAAATGTGATTTCAGGATGAGAATATTTCCAAGGAACTGATTTGAGTTGATTAGAGCAACATCCCTTTTTCAAAGAACAAGTCTTTTTAACCCCCGACATCAATCAATCAATTTTCTATGCCATTTTATGGTGAAGTAAAGACAATCCAATTCACATAACTTGACCAAAATCACCCATATCATTATCATTCTAGTCTCTTTACTGTAGAATCAACAAATTTACTTTGGGATCACAATGCTTGATGGATGGGATACCATCATTCCCAATGGCAGTGTTCAGCTTCACAATTGAGTGTTCGCTAAGCACCGGCCCCTTCAGTTACTGTTGCAATACCTGTCAAGCTTTCCCTTCTTCAGAACGAAGTAGCCACAAAACAGCATTCCTAGCCTGCAGTCATATAGACTGAGCAAATATGTCCTTTAGTTCAACCAATCATCACCTTGACCCTTCAGAGGATCTCTACAGCTCCATGCACACTGCTTCAACATGTGTAGAAATCCAAAGCTTGACAGGCTTCCCATGTCTAGTTGTGGTTGCTAAGCTCTGATTGGATATCTGCTGATTGGGGGTTAGCTTTAGCAAATGCTAAGTCCCAGGGGTTGTAGCCAGATCCCAATGTATCACAGAACATCTAACATCAGTACTTCCATTCACACTTTCCCAGTAACTGACCAACAGGCCTTTCAGTAAAAGCACAGCCTAAAATCTGAGCCCTCTGCTGTAAAATAACAACTGTACATGTTCACATCAGACCAAAATCATACCCACCAGGGAGCGTTATTGTACAGGAAGGTGCTATCCTACCTCCCCGGCCAAGATTTAGTCCTGAACAAGAGCTATTTATAATGGGAGGAGACACAGAGTAATATATTAAGAAGCTTTTCTGCGCTGCACTCCGTGATGAGAGTGAATGCCTGTAATGATTTATAATTATGTTTCACGCTGTTGTGCTAGAATAGTGATGATGATGATGACGATGATGATGATGCAGTGAAATATGAAATCTTAATAACTTTCAATATGAAAAAAAGTATTGTTTATAAATATGAACCGATTGCGATTTTCTTGTTTATAGTTTGTTGCCTGGTATCAGTTGACACAGGTGCCATTGAATAAGATGCCATTTGTATCTGCTTCCTGATTATTGATGTGAAGACAGGAAGCAGTGGCACCCTCTCTTTCTCTCTCTCTCGCTCTCTTTCTATTTCTCTCTTTAAACTCCCCAAAGATGGGCCCCCACTAGTGGATCGGCTGACTAACTACAAAAGCACAAAGAGACTCAATCATCATTTAAAGGTGCCATTTTACTTTTTTGACTTCCCTTTAGAACCATTAAGTAATTCTTCGTCTTCTACTGCCCCTTTTGAGTGCTTGTCCTTGTGCTGTTTGACATCCTGAAATTGTTTCTATAAAAGCATTGCGTTCGTGAAAACACAAGTGAAACTTTTATTTTTGTTTGTCTCCTACATCAGTTCTGCGCTGTGACAATGTATGACACCAGGGTCGAGGCCTTACCCATCATGTACAGACAGAAGGACACAGTTACCCAGCCCTCAGTGCTGATCTGATATCAGTGTATTATATGTGTGAGGGCCCACAGTGTTGATCTTGTGAAAGGGAAATATCTTCCTAAACCTGTACGTAGCTTCCTGTCTCATTTATGTTCATTCAAACTTGTACAGCAATCAGTGATTAGGAAGATACGTCACAATGTCAATAGCAGTTTCAACTTTTCACAATTTAGATTTTAGTGATAAAACTTTCTTTATGATAAAAAAAACTAAGAGGTGTATGGTGTCGTTTTAGCCATTGTCTGCAAGTGTTTACATATCTTTTGTTTGTTTTGGTTCTGTGTGGCTGACTGTAGCGCTTCATTGCTACTGTGTAGTTTTACTAGCCAACCAAGTGAAGTCACCAAATCTGCAGCGTGAGACATACAATTTAGCTAAATGAAAAATACCTATAAACACTGAACAAAGCTGTTAGTTTCTCCATCTATGTTGTTACTGGGTTTTGAAAATTGTGATAGTGGATCCTTTTACATTTGTGAACCTTAAAAGTTGTGTATCCACAACTCTAAAGCAGATTCTTATGAAGGCTCGCCTGCTGTGCTGCCAGCGTGCATCGCAGCAGGAGCCTCTCCTTATTTCTGTCTTTCTGAGGCATTATTGAACCTGAACCACACCAGCTGAAAACAAGGACAGTGCCTTTAGTTTTATATGTCAACTCCCCCCCGACTGACCACGCATCACTGAAACAAGATTTATGGTCCCTCCCTGCAACTCCTTAAACAAAAGTCTGCACACATGGCCAATTTTATATAAAGCCTTTCACGAATAAATAACAGACAGTTATTCAAACTCTGGTTACCAATAGTAACATTGCAGCTCTGCTAAGGAGATAGCCCTTATCCAGCACCATTTCAGTCAGAGATTCATAAAAATGGTCATGAAAGTCAACATTCCTGTAAGGAGGGTTAATGTATTTAGCCATACAACTGTTTCATTGATTCCCATGAAATTGTGTTAAACATTCATGTTCCCCAGAGGATGAACCCTTATTATCCTCTAGTGACACCAGCAGGTCCAGAGTTTTGAATAGTATCAGCTATATTATGGATTGGCACATTTTAAACAGAAACTCCTGGTTCCAAGAAAATGTACTAATGTACTTTGGTTATGCACTCACTTAGTGCTACAACGAGGTTGGCTTGTGGTTTTCAGTGAAGGTTTTTCAATACTTTAGTTTATGCTTGTATGATGGGAAACATGGCATACAATTGACCTGTTAGAATTGTGTTTGTGAACATGTTTACATTAAAATCAATCCTTTCTGTCACTAAATACAGTCACAAAGCTGTTAGCATAGCTTTACACATTTGTTGTTTTAACCCAATAGCCGTCTGATATGATTTTCTATCTAACTTCAGTTACTAACAAGATTGTTTTACCATTCCCTGAGTTAATGTTCTGATAATCCTCCCATAACACATTTTCTAACCGAATCTCTGACTGAAATATACAGTTTTGAGAATTATTCAAGCAGGACCAAGATGTGTTGTAAACCGCCCCTCAGTAGGACCAACTGCGTTGACAAGAATAAAAAAGGCACAAAATGTATTTATAAGCCACATAAGCTACAGACATGTTACAACTCTGTTCATCATTATCATTGCTTTTTTTTCATCAAAAAGAGCATCTTACAATTGAATGACACCCGTTTACCACAGAGACACACACAGACACACACACACACACACACACACACACACACACACACACACACACACACACACACACACACACACACACACACACACACGCATACACACACATTACTGTAAACATGAAGAAGTATTGATTGAAAGTCGTTCTCCTTGAGGAGGTGATTCCAGTCGTGCCTCCTGTGTCCGCTTGCGAGGCGCTTCGACACGAAACAGCCAAATTCGTAGCCAAGAATACAGCCATACGTTAACAGGATTATTTGTTAACTATGCATCTCAAAGTGACACAGCTTGCCTTGCCATTGCTTTGACCTAATTGGTTCACATGGGGAGAGAATGAGTTCTCATTGGCCCACAGTTGTTTCGATTGGCAGCCATGACATTGACTGCAGCGATCAGGGGGGACTGTCATTGTGGGTGGTACTGTAGGAAGCACGGCAGGCAGAGGCCATACACACACACACGCACACAAACACACACACCCTACTACACATAAATATAAGTACAGACACACTCTCTCCCTCCCTTTGTCCTTTGCGGAGTGATCGCCCCTCCTTCCATGCCCCTGTGTTCCCCAGGGGAGGCCAAACCTGCTGTGCCATCAGAAGCTCATCCCATCTTTTTTCCCCCCCTCCCTCAGCCCTAATCTCATCAAATCGCATGCACTCGTCCCCCCTCTCATCTCCCCTCCTGTAGCACTGCTACACCACCAGGATTAGGAATATTAAAACTATTCTGTTGATTACGGGCCTGTGACCTTCCTCAAAAAGTCCTCCCTTCTTTCTTCAGACAGCCCTATTAATCCCTTTTTTTCCTCTCCTATTCTTACTTCTCTTTGACCATTCAGACGTGATGCTCCCTGTCCTGTCAGAAATTCTGCATAGGAATGAAGCAGGTTGTTTGTGCCAAAGCGAGCTCGTTTCAATGGCAATATTGCTGCCGGTATATTTGACCAAGATTTTTCTGTGGGATTGCATCTCATATTATGTTTTCTCTTCATGTATCTGTAAAGCATTTAAGACTAAAAGCAACACTAGTTTCAAATCAAACAAAGACATTTCATTTCCAGCTTTGCTACAGTTTACTGTGCATGAAAATGCATTTGCATCCTGAATTGTTATCCCAGCTCCTAATCAAATAGGAAACAGAAATAAATGCAAATTAGTTTTTTTCTTTATTATGATTTCTCACCGAGTGCGCACCGCCTGACTGTATCTCAATATGAATCCATGAAGATGACTACTGCCTTCCGTAAAACCTGAGGGGATTTCAGCATCACATCTTGACAGCAATTAGTGGCACAATCTGTTTCATGCTTGCTGATATAACTAGGCCTTGGACAGATCTCATACTGAAGTGTTACAATGTTCTCTACATCTTAATATTATTCAACTGTGGAAGAGGAGAACATATACAGGACTCAGCCTACAAATATCCACTGTGCTTTTTAAGCAGATGTTTCAATCAACAAAAAAAAAGATAACATGATTTTTCACCTTACTGTGGCCTTTTGTGTAACAATCTGGAGTTTTCTTTTGTGTTCATGGCTTCCTATCTGGGGTGTTAAAGAGATATTTATATCCGTAACGTTTTGGTTAAAAAAAAAGAAGAATAAACAAAAGACATCAGACTGCAAAGACAAATTAGGTTTCAACAATACAGCTTGCTCAATTCTTTTAAATCAAACAAGACAAAAAGAAAACATATCTGTAACATTCACCAAAGCCTGTGATGCCTGTTTTAAATAATAGATTCTTGTACAAAAAACATATAAAATAGCAGAAAAGAGTTACAGATACAAACACAAAATGAAGATAAGAATTGCCTTCAGATATTCCGGAGGGGAGGATTTAAAAAAAAAGTAAAAGAAATGCTTCTTTAAGAAAATGTGTATGTTTTTTATTCAATTTTCTAGTAGTTGCAAACAAAACTTGGTGTTTTTTCTCTTTGTGTGTTGTGTGTTGTCTTAATATTTGAATGTATTTTACTGCAGTGCGAATTTGCCAAAGATATCATATCACTTGATTTCTCTCCTTCATTCTTTTTGTTTAGTTCTTTGTTACTGAATTGTGACCAATTTTGCTCAGAAAACTGGAAATAAATGGTGAATTTGATATTTTTCACATTTCTATTGTTAATATTATTGTTATTTTATTTCTTGGGTTTAAGTTTACTGTGGAATATTAAATTGCAGTTTTCTTGATGCATCTCTTCATACTCAGTGTACCTGTCCATCTGTCCACCTGAGTGACTGTTGTTGGTGAATTATTCCATTTATGTACCTGTAATGTGAAGCTAAGAAGTAATTATTTGTAAATATTTGCCATAATTTTATTGGTCCTTCAGAATAAAAAATAATTTTTGGGAAGTGAAATGTTCCGTGTCAAATACATTTGCTACAAATGTATACGTTTTTGGTGAAAGTCAACATGTATACAAACAGTACACAGGCACACAGTGTATTGCTGGAAAAAAGCCACATTCCTCAACACCCAGCATCAGCCTGGATAATCGGAGACTTCCAGAGCAGGATGCTAGTTGTGTCTCGCTGTGACCCTGCTGCGCAGCTTTCATCCTGGGGAGACAGATCTCATCTTATGGCATCTATATGATGGGGAGAGGGGGAGGACGAAGCTAAACCCCCTCCTCCTCACCCCAACACTCTGAGTGAATGGAGAGTCCCACTGCTGCAGTCTTGGCTGCTGGCCGAGTCCAGGATGGGTTTGTGTGTGTGTGTGTGTGTGTGTGTGTGTGTGTGTGTGTGTGTGTGTGTGTGTGTGTGTGTGTGTGTGTGTGTGTGTGTGTGTGTGTGTGTGTGTGTGTGTGTGTGTGTGTGTGTGTGGAAAGGAGGAGGAGGGAGGGGGAAAGGGGTGATAATAGGACACAAGCCACGACATGGCGACAACACGCCACACACACAGAAAACAGCACAAACCCAGCTTGAGACACAGGCCGAGCTGTCCGCAGCTTGGGTGTCTGCCCAGGACACCAGAATGCTGGTGTGTGTGTGTGTGTGTGTGTGTGTGTGTGTGTGTGTGTGTGTGTGTGTGTGTGTGTGTGTGTGTGTTTGTTTAAACTCATTCTGCTTCCTTGCCAATGAAACACAGCGCTATAAGCTATAAGGTTGAGTTATAATGCATCATACGGGAAAGTATAAACACTTTCAACAATCATTGTTTGATTAGTTTTTTTGCAGCAATCACGGCTTGATTATCCCTTTTGTTGGGCCTGGGGCTAACATAATCTGCGGGCTCTAGTGGGCCCTTCCACACACGTTTCCCCATCCAAATCTTTGTCCCAAAAGCTAATAAATTGTCCTATGCTGAAAAACACCAATTCCACAAGTTTGAAGTATCTTGGTTTGATTTTTTTTTTTAAATCAAAAGGTGTTGTATCAACTTTGGATATCAAAGTCACTTTGCTGGGAAGTACGAAACAGCTCTAGTGGGAGCACTGTAAAGTCTGAAAAATACTCTGGGTCATGGAGTTTAAAAGGTATTATTCAGTCCATGGTGTTTAGCAAGATGCTTTTGAGTTGGGAATATGGGAATTAGGGTTTTTGGAGCTCAGGATATCTTGACCACTACTGCTTTAGTTTTTACCTTTTCTTTTTCTAATCAGTCTCTTACAATATCAACTAAAAAGGCCCTTTATTTAAACATTCTTCCTACACTGATGAGGCATCCAAAAGAAATTAGTTGCACTGCTGTAGTTTTAAAAGCTATGCTTGTAGACTTCTGGAATTTGTCCAAACATTTACTGTGAGTTACAATGTTTGTATCTAGGGGCAGAGCTCACGTCTGATCTGTCAGATCAATGTCTGCTTGAGAAATAATGGTTCAGCAGTGTTCAGTTAGTTAGAAAGCAGTGCGACACCCTCTGCCCTCCTCAATCTCCTTCTATTTCTCCAGATTACATAACATCACTAGGCATTGACATCTTCTACCTCTCCTCCCTCTCCCCTCCTCTTCCTCTTCTGGCTTCCTATACAAGAGCAGGAGACAGACAACAGTGGTACTTATGGAGGCCAAGAAGTCATGCAAATTAACGTCAGTCAGCATCAGTATTTTTTGGCCCTCCAGAGCCCCTGCAGGGAGGAGGTGTGGGGCCAACTGAGCATAATTGGGCCTCAGCTGATTAGTGAAGAGGGGTTCATAAAGGAGAGAGGGGTGGGGGAGATGCTGAAGAGATATTAGGAGTGAGAGAGCAGGGCCTTTAAATCAAACAGAAGGAGGAGAAAGAGAGAAGCTGACACAACATACAGAGGAAAAGGATAGCGCGAGCGTGCTTATACACGTGTTGCATATTCATGACTGCTGCTGTGTTTGTATTCCAACTCTCTGCCATCTTTGCTCTGTTTCTGCTTTATTCTGTTAACTGAGAGTGCATTTGTCCTGCATTCATACCATGTTATGTGTTTTGCTGCAGCATCGCTGAAGATGTGCAACAAGCAAGTGAATGCTATGTGTTATTAATCATTTCGTATTCATTTAAAATGGATTACTCCGTTTTATAGGGTCTAATTACATAGATTTTTTCATAATTCCTATTACAGTAAGTTATGATAACATTTTACTCACCAAGCATATTGCAGAGATTTGGGGATGTTGGAACATTCACTTAAAAGAAGGGCACTTTCTCTGACATTTTGTTGTTTAATCCATTACTTGCACAATAATATCCTGTATTATATTTGTTACTGGAAAGTTGTATTTCCACATGTATATTTTCCACATCCACGTATATATATATATATTTTAAACTTTTAATGCTATTTTATTTCTATTTCAGATCTATCTATCTATCTATCTATCTATCTATCTATCTATCTACTGTATCTACTGTATCTATATATCAATACCTTTAGCTTGTAAATAGCATAAAACTTGACATTTTTAAGCTCCTTAGACCCAAAATAATGATTTGAAAAAAGTCAAACGTTAGCTAGCCATCACCTATTGACTTTTTCAACCTGCGATCAGGGCATGCAAACTGAAATTGTTTCATTTTAAGATGTCACGTGGCCGATTCAAACCCACTTTCACATGTAAATCGCCACCTGTTTCCATCGTCATCTTTAAATCATTTGATTGTACAACTGGGCAAATCTTCACAGCGTTGGAGGGAAGCATGTCAATCCTCATCTGCTGTTCCCTACTGTTGGCTCATCAAATGAGAAGAAACTATCTGACACACTTACAGTGAAAAAATGTGGTCTGACCTTATCACCGAAGACATTTGGACCTCACAGAATGAGCCGTTACATGCCTCTCATTGCCCTTTACAGAAGCGTCTATGTTCACACACACACAGGCTAAAGTCACAGAGATGCATTACGCAGTGACAGTGGTAAAGATGAGCGAGGCTTGTACAGGGTGCTTATGGGCTGTGTTTCACTCATTAAGGCCCCCCAGACACCAGAAATGACGAGACACGTGGTTTCATGTAAAGTTTTTTTCCCCCCCTCGGCCCGTCACTCACAATCACTCTCTCACACCGATACTACATGTAACAAATGTCAGATATGAGTACAGTGTGTGTGTGTGTTCATGTCCGTCTATGTGTGGATGTCGGACCATTGACAGGCATGGAAGCAGCTTGTTGAACTAATAGCCTAACTAATGTGTCTACATTCCTTCCCTCCCTCTCCTTACCTCCCTCACCCCCTCTCCCCTCTGCAAAACTGACATCTATAAACTGAGCAGAGGAAAAGGAGGGAGGGAGAAAGGAGAGGAAAAAGGGAAAAAAGAGGAGAGGAGTGGGTTGACAAGCGGCAGACCCTCTCGCCCTCCCGTCTGACTCCGTCTATCTCCCCCTCGATCCCTAAGGGTTTGTCTCTGAGGGTAGTGCTATGATGAATAGGCCTGTCCAAACTAACCTAGCGGAGACCAATTAAAGAGAGAGAGAGAGAGAGAGAGAGAGAGAGAGAGAGAGAGAAAGAAAAAAGATAGAAAGAGAAAAACAATGAGAAACTAAAGCAAAAGGAGAGCAGAAGACACAAAAGAGGAGATGGAGAGGAAGGGCAGATAGGTTAAAAAAGGAGGTATTAGGAGGATTGGGGTAAAGTGTAAAGTTGAACACAATGCATGTTGGGTGTGCTGGTGTCTACATGTGTGTGTGTGTGTGTGGGCGAGCTGTCAGTGTGAGGGAGAAGCAGTGTGAGCAGGGCTGGCCTATAGTCTTAACCTCGTCTGCTGCTGCAGGAGAGGCTTTGACAGCAAAGACGCACAAACAGGACTGACCCTCGCAAAACACTTCCTCCTCCTCTCCTGAGAAACCTTTGACTACTGTCTTCCTCTTCCTCCCTCTTTCTGCTCAGAAAGTCGAGCTTAAAGATCTTTTTTTTTAATATATCAATGATTGTACCGTTCGCTAGTAGGACCGCTAATTAATTGTTGCTTCTAGTTGCTTTACTGTTGTGGTTTTGGACTGCCTTTCCTGGAAATCACCTATATCAAGAGAGAGGCAAGCAGTGAACATCTTATTTGTTCTTAATTATTCTAGTGCTTGTTTGTGATTCGACTTACAGATATTTGATGACACCTTGAACTAATTACCATGATACAAGACACTAATATTTGTCTAAAAATAAAGAAAAGGTCAGTGACTATCCTTGTCTGACTTGTTTATTGCATTCACATTCTTTTTCATGTTTTAATTTGAAATGTTGCCAGAAAACAAACCAAAAAAACATGGATGCCTCACACATCATGCGTCCATTGGTCCAATGAACCCACATTAAATGGATTTAGTTCCATATTCAGCAAATCTTTTTAAACCTCACACAAATCTTAAATGGTCTCTGCCATCCATCCCATATGTTGTGTACATTGCATTATAGAAAACTTCTGGTTCGACATTTGGCCTGGGCTCAAATCCCACTAACACTTCCTCGCCTGTGCCTGCCAAGCTAATTTTTCTTCCTTGAAACAAACATTTGATAAATGACCTCCTCGTTCTCCTCTTTTCAAATAGGAAAGCTCTCCCTTCCCTCATTCGTGTTTCCTCGACAATCACTGTCGACCTCTCCCCATCTCCGAGACAATTACAAACATCCCGCTTCCCATTTATCACCAACAATTAAACAGCATGGACGGATGCTACTTCATAAGCAGAGAGGAGAGGCTGAAGAGAGCGGGAGGAGACGAATGCGAGTGGAATGAAGTAGAGTCAACAGTCGGAAAGAGAGAGGAAGGCTGACAGCACAATTAAGGTTTTTAATTCTCTGCTTGAGTGGGCCGGTCCAGTCTTTATGCTAATTAGGATGCCACAGCCATGTAATAAATCTCTATGATCCAGCCTCATTTCCCTTCTGTCTCTCTCTGTCTGTCTCTTTCACACACGCTCACACACATTTGCAACAGCACAGAAAGTTCACCCATTACTTGATATGGCTACACACTTGGGCTGGAGTGTTTATAGATTTGATAAGGTTGTTTTTTTTGTGCAATTTCAATGCTTCCCTAAGATCTGAGAGCCACAGCGTGTAAGCACACCCTGTTTACTGGTTGGCCAAGCATTCCCCGCCTTGGCTCAACGCCTATACCACATGTAGTTTCTCTCCCTGTTAACTCCCTTTATTAGTGTTTTTCAGGAGTATAGTTTGCATGCAGTGCGTTGCATAAACATACACACATCTGAAAAGCGCAATGAATGCAGAAAATATTCTCTTATTCCTCTGCCTTTTTCTCTTATCCTCTCATCTCCATTTGACAGACATGTCTAATGATAACATCTGCAGATAGGAAGAAAAACAGCACAACAATCCGCAGATAATTGGAGGCCACAGTTAAAGACAAGAAGAGAGAAAATGAGAGAGACAGATAAGTGGACAACTGTAGACTGTTTGTTAAAGTAGCAACTAGCAGATATTTTCACCCTCATTTAGGTCACGAGGACGCACACTAATCAGTTCTTTTTTTTACGTTGCTTTTTAAAAGTGTCCCAAAGCCAATTTAAATGCGTGTGTGAAAATGAACTGCAGTTGTAAGTTCATTAAGTAAATGAAAGTCAGAGAAAGCAATTGAGGTGGAATTTTAATTGAAGAAATACACAATTTGATAATGTTACAGCAGAAATCAGCCTCGTTTACAACCAAACACCCCCAGTTTGGCTTTTTGCTGTGATGCCGCTCCAATATCTTTGCTGGTACAACACTTTCTCATTGGTGGTGTCACTGTCAGCTACTCTGCGTTGTGTGAGGATCAACATGGCCATCACCCCAACCACAAGTGCCAGGTGAAGCAGGTACAGAGCAACATGCAGACACGTCAGCAGCAGAGACACAGAGGGTCGCCACGCACCAAGGCCCGACCAGGAGGAGTGAGCGAGGGAGCTGAGGACCAGAGCCGGGACAGAGAGGACGAGTCTGAGCAGCGTGGAGGAGAGCCAGGAGAACAGGGACAGAGGAGACAAGAGGAGAGACACTGCTGCCTCGCTTGTTGATACAGCCTATAAGAACAAATGCAGAGTGGACATGTGACATAATAATGCTGATAGAAAGTAAGTGGTGTGTTGTTATGGCTATACCTGAAGAATGCTAGTCCAACTAAAACATATATTTAATTGACCAGCTAGTTTCTTACTTAGATTTTCTAGAAGCATTTGTATTTGTATCGGACAGTCTGTAGACAGGAAACAGCAGAACTAACAGGGCTCTCCAAACGTTTTAATTTAAAGGTTTTTGAGACCTGGAGAGGTGAAAGTACTCAGTATTTTACCAGAGAAATTAGAATTAGAGGAAAGAAAAAAAACTGTTATTCCTTTTGCTTTTCAACACTTGTATACTGGGATCCCTTAGGGGGTTCCTGACCCTAAGGAACCACTAAGATAAAGCACACATAACGACTCTGTTCATTCGTTTTTGCATTAACGTACCTCACAAGGATTTCCATGCGAGGTGTCATTAGACATCTGAGCCTTGTAAAGCCCTGGAAAATGAGCAATGTAGTCAGAGGAACAAAAAGAAATGGATGTGTAATGCAGTAGCTTCACAAAAAATAGCAAACAAAATTATTGGACCGTATCAGTGTAACGCTCTTCAGAAACTCACATAGGAAAAGAAGAATGAGAATTGCTGTCAACAGGAGCCTCATTGCTGCTACCAGATTTACACTCACAAGCCTGAAAAGAACAAACAAAACAAACGAGCACCAATCTGCTTTATTCACATATAATCTGTATTTACCCGGCACTGCTTCCAAACTGGACGTACTGTGTGTCAGCTCACTCTTGCTCCTGATACATTAAAAGTCCCACATGCCTTTATGTTCTGCAAACCTTTCTCAATTGTAATGTAGTAATCCTCTTCAGGGCAGGAATCAGCCATGCTCTCTTGCTCTAGTTTTTAAACAAGCATGGACAAAACTTCCCAACATGAGAACAGGGACTGCGGTGCCCCCTGTTTGAATGGAGGGACATGACAAGAATCATTGAAAGCCCCTCATTATATATTTGCAAACTGAAAATGGGGTTTTCTTACAATACGTTCATTTTCTACCTGCCCTGTTACTGTCTGCATGCATTGAGAGGTTTAAGTACATTTAACATTATAGAGTGTCAAGTTTATGATTAAGAACCAAACAATATATAATGGAATTAGTCTAGAAGAAAGAATGCATAAATGTAAGAAAAATGTGGCTCATGTAGTGACTGGAGACTGAAAAGAGGGGAGACACTCTTATTTGTGAGAAAGGTGACAGCTGGTTTTTACTCCAGCTGTTGTCCACACCAAACACACAAAGCCTTACAACCTTAGCCCAGCATGACTCATTACCGCCACTGGAATATTATGGAGGATATGTTCTCATTTTTTTTTTAATCACACCAACTCCAACCTTCACCTGTCTTACATTATCATCCCACTCCCCTCCCTCTCTCAAGACTCCATTAAGGTTAAACCCCCCTTATCATCACCTCAACCCATCGTTACCCTTCCCCTCCCTGCTGAGACGCCAAGGAGAAGCTGCCACAAATACATGCCAATCAGCCGCAGCACTGTTAAGACTAAGTGGCATCTTGTCTGGGAACAGGGAGGGGGAGAAGGAGCTTTTTTCACTTTGTTCAAATGTTGCTGGCTATGATCATCATTATTTAGTCATAACAATCACACTCCTACAGCCATTTCTGCCATAACCATGATCCTCCAACATTTTGAGTATCAGGGATAAATCTCTCACTGTTTTACATTTACACGAGAACACAGAGCATGTGCATTTCTGTAGTTCAAGGACATAAAGGTATGTGGATGACTTTTAAATAAAAAGGCTGTGAACATGCGAGTGAAGGATGTGAGCTTTCAAACCCAAAGCATCTAAAGTGTTGAAGCATTTTTGACACCTTTCAGCACTTATTTGACTAAATGTGAACTGAGAAAGGCTGTCACTAAGATAAACTATCACTATCAATCTTTCTACCAAAGAGAAGTGTATACCAGAAGAACAGAAGGATGATGACAAAGTGTAAAACACACCACTGCTCCATCAAACTGCTGAGTGAATAAAAAAAGAAAATCTGACGTAAATTAATCTTGATCATCTGTCTACATAAACACAGACATATTAGATCCACTAGAAACCATTTATTTTTCTCCTCGTCAGTCAAAATCTTACACACACAATGCGACAGACAGTAAGAACTGGATAAGCACCAATGAGAAATAAAAGAAGACAGACAACACAACCATGTAAAACGCAGTGATGGAAGAATTTTAAACATGTACATTAATAACAGGAAATTACACCTACAGGGAAGAATAACAACATCAAGACATAAATATGGTAATAAGCAGCCAGAAGGTATACTGTAAATAACATTGTTTCATTTCACACATTCATCTCAAGAGGACTGACTGAGATCCTATTCAGCTTTACAATTAAAAAGTGAAACAGCCATACTGACATGTAATTCTCATACATTTAATGTAACATGTTCTCTGGGGATGGCAGGCTGGCCTAAGGACAATTTCAAATATTCACTATGAATAATGAAGAACTAATCATTAATGTGTTAAGACACGGATCTTAGTCTGAATCTCTGCTACAATTCCTAATCAGACATCATTTATTGTAGGACACAAAAAGGCATCCATTGATTTACACTGGGAGTGATATTGACAGGAAAGTGCATTATTTAGATACTGGATGTGGCAAGGATGTCCTCCACAAGGTGCTTGTAGACCCAGGCGTCCCCCTTAAGCCTCTGGCGGCGGACCACCACGACCTCTGGCCTCTGCAGCATGCACACCTCCAGCTCAAACGCCATGGTAACCTTACCAAAGTCGCCCCAGGTTTGACACTTTAGGGTATACCTAAATGAAGGAAGGTGACAGAAAGATTAGAATTGGTTCAAAGAATAGGCAGAAATGGGCTATCTGATCAGAACGAAGAGGTTAAGGCGTGTCTTCTCACCCTTTCTGTGTGAAATCAACATTTTTCTCCGGCAGGATGGACAGGATCTGGTTCAGGATTTGGTCTGGGTTGGTCTGACTGGTCAGAGTAACGTTGTACTGCGCCTAGGGGAAAACACAGACAGAAAAAGAATGATGTACACTATTTTTGACACAGAATGGGTATGAAGGTTTGACTTGCATACCTTGATCTTGCGCGGGCCGTCACGCAGGGCTCGTCTCTTGCTGGGAGTGAGCATGGTGATCATCTTATCCAGACCTCTCTCCAGGGAACCAAACACCTTTCCTGCTCTATTCTTCTTCCCGCTGTCTGATGTCACAGCCATGTCCAATGAGCGAGACCTGGAGAAAAAAACAGGGACTCTCATGACCTGTCATTTTATCAAACTTTTCTTACCGAAAGCAGGAGGTAAGATGAAGATGTATTATCATAAATATCAACTTTTAACCGTGGTTGAGTCTCTGTAGACCATAAGCCATCCTGTAGTCCCCGTCAATCTTAGATGTGAACAGTATTTCTCCTCCCATTCCATTATTGCCTGCATTTATCAATTTTAGCACACACGCCTTCCCTTACTCCCTCTCTTTTACATCAGATCCCCCACTCACCTTCGCTCAGGACTGAAGGCCAGTAGTTCGACGTTTGCAATCTCCTTGAACTCTGCTCTCTTCTTAGTGTGCTCTTTAGATGCACTGCCTTCACCTACAACACAAACAGACATTTTGTTTTACAAATAGTGAATAGAGAAAGAACTTAAAGCTGCGACAATTAGTCCAACTGTGGGTTAGACAAAAAAATAATTGCAAAAAAAAAAAAGCATGGAATAAAACTGAATATCATACAGTTTCGGACTGACACAACAAAACATTTGAAGACACCATTGTTGACTTTGAGAAACTAGGATAACAATTGTATTGACATTTTACCATAAGATTAATTAATCAACTCAGAAAAGAATTTGCATATTAATAAATAATTATCAGTTGCACAAAAATCCGACTTATGTAATGTTTGGAACCTGAAAGTATCTTGAGAGGAAACAAAAGGGGAACTCAGATGGGGATTAGATGAGAAAGTGACCGATACAGCCCTTTGCTCTTATGCATGAAACTGGCTGGCTTTGTCATCACACACACACACACACACACACACACACACACACACACACACACACACACACACACACACACACACACACACACACACCACACACACACACCACACACACACACACACACACACACACACACACACACACACACCACCACACACACACACACACACACACACACACACACACACACACACACACACACACACACACACACACACACACCACACACAACACACACACACACACACACACACACACACACGCTTTAGTGGCAAGAGAACACATGTCACTACAGCCCACGTGGGACTGTGAGCAGAGGAAAGAGACAGCTACACCTGTCACAGCACACGCCTAGGGACGGACACACAGACCACAGCGTGTGTGTGTGTGTTGTAAGAAGCAGCATGTCTGCACTGTAGCTTAGAAAACAGAAGGCTGAAAAGAGAGCAGGGCCAAGCCAAATTCCAAGAGTTTAACACCCAATAGTCGACTGCTTAGCCCACCTGTGGACGAGTTTATAGAAGAAACTAATGAGGCCGGACCTCAGAGCAGAGAATTCACTTTGACAAATAATTAAGACTTTAATGATTCTTCATTCATAAGTGACCTTCACTCACAGATAAAGGAAAAATAATTAGCTTCCTGATAATAATAACCTCACCTTTGAGTTGACAGTGATAAGTGTGTATGTAAATGAGAGTGTTTGAGTGTGTCCATTCTCCGTGGTTTCAGTAATGACAGCTAAATCATAGAAACATGAGAGGCTTTGGGATAGAAAATAACAGGCCCAATAAATGAGTTTATTACTAAAAGACAATTTACTTGCAAATGTGTGGCATGTGGACGTGGCATTTATGATTATGAGATGCATGAGGACTGAGCGAGGGAAAGATAAATGAGAGAGCGCAATGTGGAGAGGGGCAGTTGGCTAATGCAAATAATCTAATAGAGATTGTACTTCGGGCCCTTGTAACGTAAAAAAACAATTACAGTATACAAACAAACTGCATGATGAACTGAAACTGTGTGTTGCCTGTTCTATATTACTGCCATGGGTTCAGTGGTTGAAACTGCTCTTACCTTTAGGTGCGTCTGCATTGGCTACGTTAGCATTTTTATTAGGTGTGGTCAACACATTCTTGTTGGGCCGTGGATTCTTCTTACTGGACACGGGAGTTCGAGGAGGAGGCAGCGCAAATAATTCAACGTCTTTCTGCTGCACCGCCATATTCTCCTTGTTCTCACTGGTTCGTTCCTGGTCTCTGTCCCTTCTCTCCTGGCGGTGCTGTGCCGCTGTCCGCCCCCTCTTTGGAGTCGGACTGTAAGCGTACCTTTTCTCCACCGCTGGGGATGCCAGTCTCTTTAGCAATACAAAGAAGAGAAAAGCTTGATGTTAGTAGATTTCTCTGGAAGAGGCACAAAGGGCATAACCTTTCACCAATATTTCTAACCCAAAATGAATCTGTGAGGACATTGGAGACAGCATTCACACATGTTCCAAATTTCACATACCGTGTCTTTGTTTACAGCTCCATCTGGCTGACCTCTGACTCCCTGGGGTGTGTAATGTTTGGCTGAAACCCATGGGCAATCATCAATGTAGTCCGAGCAAAGGTCCAGAGAACCCATAATCATGGCATCTTCATCCTCACTCAAGTGAAGAGCTTCCATTGACTGACAGCAAGAGAGAAGAAATAAGAAATAAAAAAAACAAAAATACAAAATAAGAAAAAGACAAAAACATATACAGCATATCTGGATACTGGGAAACAGTAAGTATGTCCTAGGTAGAGTAATAAAGCTGTCTGTAGCCCAGAAAAAGAAGAAAAGCCTTCTGGGAGTTGTGGTGCTGAGTCTGAGTTGTGGTGCTGAGTCTGACCTGTAGTCCCTGGAGCAGAGGAGAGTCCTCACACACTGTGGGTTCAGGGCGCATGCGGACAGGTTTGCCCCTCTGCTTCTTTGACAGCAGCAGCAGGTAGATGGCTGAGGTCTGGTCATACCGCCACTGTAAGAGGACATTTGTTTTAGACTGCATATCAAATAGAGAGTATGTAAATTACGCAGAATAAAGGGGTTGTTAATGTGATTAACATTATGCAGTTGTTGTGATGTCACCATCCATAACACAACATAATCACAACTGTTGTTGAACAGACCAACATAATAAACATTGTACCTCCTTGACCAGCGCAGTGGTGCTCTCCCTCGATCGCTTCATGTTGACAGCCATCTCAGTGATACAGTCCTCATCGATGTGGCCGAGCTACAAAAAGACTCAGCATGTTTACACAAAATGCATGACAGATCCTCCTTCACTTTTTATTGTTTTTATATGTCAGCACTAAACAACATTATCTCAAACAATTATGTTCATATTAAGAATTCTTTCAAAAGTCAGATAACTGATGACATTTTCTGTTGGAAATAAAAATAAAAAGAGGCTAAAGTAAAACAGATAGCATACTGCTCCATTAACTGTTAAAAGCTACTATTTGTTTGCAGTTGTGCTGTTTTTATTTAGATATTTGTGTCTGTATGTTATGGATGAATGTGTGTGTGTGTGTGTGTGTGTGTGTGTACCGGCTTTCTGCTAAGCCACTCCACGGGGCTGTTGTAGTCTTTCATCACCCAGGGATGGTCCAGCAGCTGCCGAAGAGTAATACGCCGCTTGGGGTCCACCTACAGGACAAACACAAGAACTACAACTCAATAATCAAGAGACTACACATCCAACAACCAATAACATATCTAAAATGTTGTACAAGTCATTAAATGATATGCACCAACAATGTTAAATAAAAAATGTTTACTACTTCTATTATTTTGTAAAGATGTGTGTAGATGAGTTGCAGTAGTGTGCAATGAGAACCAGACTAGTAACTCATGGAGGGAAATGTCTACAAAATGGCTAAAAGGTGAGCGACAGTACGAGTATTGTTATGCACCTGCAACATCTGATTGAGGATGAGGATACTTCCTGGAGACAGCCAATGGGGGTTATCATACTTGCCTCTCTGAAGAGATAAAAGATGTACAAAAACAATTGTGAAACATGATAGTATTGGGATTTGATTGAGCTTAATACAAACAATTAAACGGAATTGACACAAGATATTGAAGCTAGTGGAGCCTCGCAGATGGGGTTGCTGCAGCCCCCTCAGCATCCCCCCCTTCCCGCGTCCATTCGCGATGTCTCGCTGTCTCGCAGTCCCCACGCAGTAAGCAGGAAATGAACCCAGCTCACACTGTCCGCTCCTCGCAGCAGCGAGCCGCGCAACGTCCCGCCAACACGGCACCCAGACCCCACGCAGCATTCTCATCTGTTTGTCCTTACTGGTGTCATTTTCTGGTTGGTAACGCCATTGTAACACATAATCACTGATGTTCCGCTGTAACGGTGATAGACTCATCAGAACAGAGTGGGCGAGCTGACCAATCAGAGCACAGTGGGCTCAAAGGGAGGGGGGGGGGGCAGGAGCTCCAACAAGCCGTGTAGGACAGAGAGTGAATACACATACTATACAGAGATGCTGTATGAGAAACCAACGTGAGTTTGGAAAATTGCACAATATAAATCTATTCTAGTATACCTCAACAATGGAATTATGATCAGTAGAAATGGCCATGACATGGGACCTTTAAATATCAAACATCTTAAACAGCTAGAAGAAGGTCAGCTCTCTTACTGAAATCTTCCTGTAGAGGATCCCGCAGTTGTCGTCATCAAAGGGTAGATATCCACAGAGCAGAGCGAACAGCAGCACTCCCATGCTCCACACATCAGCCTGCACATTACACATCACACAGCAGTATTTCAGCTTTACAGTTAGGATTTCACAGCTCAGTTGCACTGAGTCATGCACCAGCGAATACACTCAGCAAACCACGAAAAAGCAGAAATGTGGAACAGGCAGGTAAAAATGAATTTTATTGGGGAAACAAATGTGTGGTACAGGGTTCCTACAGCTTCAAGAAAGTTGTAAACAATGTTTGAAATGCTACATGGAATTAAATTCAAGAACACCTTTACAAATACTAAAACTTATGGACAATTTAGCTTGCTACTGGTTTCGAAGATAGGAATGGGTGTTTGTGTGCCGACTTGGCAGTTTTGTCTTTTCTTACTCATTATGTACGAAAATGTGCCTCTAGTCAAATCGTGAAGAGTTAGAAACCCTGATAGAATACCTTAATCCACAAAAAAAAATTAGTGATCGAAATCCTGATCTGTGTGACATTAGTGCACAAGAGGCATTCAGTAAATAGTAAATAAAACTCTGGTAAAATAAGGTTTTTGAAGATCTGCAGGAATTCTGAAATGTCATAACTCTGGTGGTGCTCATAGTTGGAAAGGGCATCATCTCTCACCTCTGAACCAATGTATGCTTTTCCCTGGATGAGTTCAGGAGCAGCGTAGGCAGGGCTGCCACAACACGTCATCAGCTCATAACCCAGACCTCCCTAGGAGAGACATGACCACATGTTCACATCATGTTAAAAGGCATTAATCACCATGTAAACACTTCAGCTGCAATATTGTCCACAAGGATGTTTTGTTTAATACACCTTTCTCTATAATTGTAAACACAATACCACAATAAGACAGAGAATAAGTTGATGACGTACCTTAGGTTTGGCACACAATCCAAAGTCTATGAGCTTCAAGTTGTGGTTTTCATCGATCAATAGGTTTTCCTACATTTCAGAAAGACAAGTGTTGTAGCAAATGTTAAGATTAGGATGCTGTCACAGACAAGGAGACACATTTTGTTGTGGTCACAATCTCTCAGTCACTCTTTCACATGGAATCAGCGGTTGTGCTCACCGGTTTGAGGTCCCTGTGTGCGTATCCCTGGCTGTGGACGTAGGCCATCGCTGACACAATCTGCCTGAAGAAAACCCGGGTCTCCTCCTCTGACAGACGGTCCTTTGCTATGATGTAGTCAAACAACTCGCCACCTGGACAGTACTGAGAGGGAGAAATTTGTAAAATAAAACATAAATAAGGTCATATTCACACTCCCCTCACTCACATACTGTGTCAGTCTATGTGTGTGCCTACCTCCATCACTATGAAGATCTGGGTGGTGGTCTCTATGACATGGTAGAGACGGCAAACGTGCTGATGGCTCAGGTTCCTCATGGCCTCGATCTCCACCTTCACACGGGGCAGGTCATCCTGGGGTGACAAACAATTTCTTTATTAATTGAAATATTGGTGAAATTTAAATAATGATGTTCTTCAGAACACAGAAAGATCAGCATACAGACATTTTTGGGTACATGGAACAGTGGAACAATAGTTTATGTATTGATCAATCATGCCGTTTTTGTAAAGGTTTGTTGGCATAAATATGCACTACAGCCATTTATATATAATCAGGGGTGCACATAACTGGTACGCAGGTATGTATGCACGGTACAAATCTGAAATGCGCAATGTCACTTGTGTCACTAAGCGCCTTTGCGTACCTGATAGGTCATCAAAACAAAACACATATTTCGTCTACACGTGTTTCTTGTCAACAATCAGTGGAGTAAACTACTAGACATGTCAAAAAAACTAAAAGACATTAAGCAGCCACTTTGGCGTTTTGCTCCCTGCAAAAAAATCTTTGGACTTTCTATGACTGATTGAACTGGGTGCTGGCCGTGCCGCGCAGGCCATAACCGACGGCCCAGTGAAGCTTTTCCAGGAGGCAGAGGCTTAGATCACCGGACGACAGAGTTGGTCGCCGTGTGCACAGGGCTGCTGTTAACGTCGGTATGTAAAACAGAATTGTGCCAAAACTACGGCACTGGCTGCGGTGGGAGACTCCCCTGTGCACATTCTGTGCCGCGCGCACACTGGAGAACTGCGCAAAATCTGCTGATCACAACGTTCACGCTCTGTGGTCAAGCTGCTGCAGTTTTATTTACAACAAGGTGGAGCAAAACACACAGCTGCAAACGTACTCGTAGGTACCAAAAGTAAAAGTAGTCATTTTGCAGATTGGTCCATTTCAGAATAATATATATGATATGTTTTATAATTATTGATGCATGAAAGTGTCAAAGCTGGTAAAGGTGCAGCTAGTTTTAATGACTTTGTATACTGCAGGGCAGCTTGTGAATTTACTCCAGGTGGAACTAAAGTCTGATTTAAGACTTGATTATATTTCACATCATTAATCCAAATCTGTAAATAACTAAAAGGTATTAAATAAATGTAGTGGAGTAAAAGTACACCATTTACCTCTGAACTGCAGTAGAGTAGAAGTACAAAGTAGCATAACATAGAAATACTCAAGAAAAGTACAAGTATCTCAAAATTGTTCCTAAGTACAGTACTTGAATAAGTGTACTTAGTTACTTCCCAGATCTGAAATCAGATATGACTTCAAGTCATGTGATAATTTCTTAGTATTTGATCCTTCAACTTGGCCTCAGGAAATGTGAGGATTTCACATTTTTGGCAACAAGTTTTGGAGAAAACAAATTGCATGCTTAAACAGGGACAGAGAGGTGCATCTGCAGCATCTTCATCATCTACCATGCAGGAAGTGGAAATAGAGGACAGTGAAGGAGACACTGAGGAGGACAGTGAGGAAGACTGCACTTTTCATTTATTTAATCGTTTATTTGAAGAAGGACAATGCACATTGATGAACATTTAAAACAAATAATGCTTTAAAACGTAAACATGCCGGATTTGAGCTTTGAGCTAATTTCCACTTATTAACACCACGCTTCGTGTGGGGCGAGTACCAAATGCTGTCTCCTGGTACTCATCTGAGTAACTCACTAAAAAAGTTATGTGCACCCCTGCATGTAATATACAATAGTGATGCTAATGTTTCTGCTAATGTAATTCGGAATATTATATGTTGAGTCCACGAAAAAACAATTAAATAGGGTTACACCTCGAACACACCACTTTGGGCGTGGTCATTTCTCTTTTCTTTTAATTTATTGTATAAAAATGCAAGTTATGTTGAATAATGCTCACATTTACAACTGATCTAACTTACCCCTAGATCCTTCTTGTTCATGATTTTAATGGCAACCTTCTCTCCTGTCTGGAGGTGTCGACCCAGCTTGACTTTGGCAAAGCCTCCTGACAAACACACAGGGTTAAAAAACACACGTCAGAGTGGATATGGCACTGACAGAGCTGTTTCGATAAAGGACATATCACCATTGCCATTTACCTGATCCGATGGTTTCATAAACTTCATAATATTTGTAGAGCTCGTCGGCTCCGCGGTGCTCCGTCCTTTCCACAGGCATCCTCCTGCTCTTTATCCAGTCTATCCTCCTGTTTCAGCCCCACGATGGTGACCTCACTGCGGCGAGAGGAAACCCGTTTAACGTACAACACCACTGCTAGCACTAAACTCGCTAAATCACAAAATTAAACCAAAAACACCAACCTTTCCTTCATAAGTAAAAGCAGCTTTACATAGCCAACATTTTCTAGCAAGCTTGTGTCAAATGACGTAAAAAAGAACTGACGTACGCTAACAAAAGTATCCAAACTAATACATGTAACGTTAACGTAATGAAAGCCTACTTCACTCCAAGCTAACTGAATGATGCTTCTTCAATGTTACCTGAATCTTTAATGAAACCGAGAGACAAAGGAGATGAAATCAGTTAGGAATCAGATGCCACATAGAAAAGCCCTCGAACAGAGATGTTTTGTTACAGAAGTTTGAATTTCGCACGTTGACGTTGACTTCACTTCCTGCTTCCGGTTTGAGCGACGTGCGCTCCCTTGTGGCGAACAACAGTACTGCAGCTATGAACTCAGGAATCAGAGGTTTATTATTATTATAATAATAATACATTACATTTATATAGCACTTTTCCAGGTGCTCAAAGCGCTAAAGTTAAGCATCAGTAGCTACAGTTATGGCATTGCAAAACGTAGGTCCCAGGCTCATTCAACAATGCAACATAAATATATAAGACATAAATAATAAAACATAATGCAAGAAGAAACAGAATAGACAGGAGAATGTTGCAAGTGACCAATATGCAAGTAATGCAGGAGAAGTAAACTATATACTTGTTAAATAGAATAAGACGAGCTAAACATTTAAATAAAATACTTTAAAGGAATAAAAAGTATTTTTGTTTATTGTGATAATAAATACATATGTGGAATGCAAACAGATGCATGCTATTGAATCAACTTCATCAAGGCCGTAACCATGGAGTCTACATTGGGGGGGACCACAAATTCAATCAACATTTGAATACTAATTTCCTGCCATTCTAAAGGAAAATATATAAAAATTCACTAACACATGGGATACTTTAAAACCTGTTAAACCCCATGCCTCCGCCCGTGGGGGCAAAAAACAACAATATTCACGAAACTGTGTCTCAGGCATGGGCGTAGGAAGCATCCTCAATGTGGTTGGGACAATTTGACGGGGGGTGTGGGCAGGTGGTGGACCTAACCTTCTCTGGGGGGGTCCGGGGGCATGCTCCCCCGGGAAGATTTGTTTTTAAATGTTAAAGTTAAAAGCATCAATCTGGTGAGAGCAAAAGGAAGAGATCTATGGATACATCTCCCAACACCCATTTGAAACAGAACTGTAAACAGATTTACTTTTTCTTTATGCATATTTTACACAACCCGGTATCACGGCAAGACGTGAACATGTGACGATTTACCATGCTGGGAGACGTGAAGATGTCACGATTTCGTCCCTTCAAACGTGACAGTTGCACGGTATTGTTAACATGGCCCAGCCAGTGGAGAAATACCCGGAAGTGCCAAGCAAATCCTCTACCCCGACAGTCGGGTTGTTATTGTCAATATTAATATAATAATGATTTATTTTTTAATAGTCACACTCGATTTCGCCGATTTTCTTGTTGCCCCAGCTGGTCGACACCTCTTTTAGCAGAAACAAAGGCTACATTAATGTATTAAATCGATGTTAATCCATGTGTGTCGTTGTAAAATCAACGGACGTTACGTTGTGCGACTGCGTTGCCAGGCAACAGCTTGCGTTCATGTTAATTTACAAACTCTTCAACTAGAACCGTAGTTATATTTAAAAACATTTTAGAAGGCCTCACGAAATACTTTAATGTACATTTAAATTTAAATGTGAAGGAATGTGTGTGTATAACAAAATACATCCGTCATAAACAATACCGGAAACAGACAAGGCAAGATCCTCAGCTCGGTGATTGGATGGTTTAGCCGCAATGCACGTTGGGATATGGTGTTTATGCGATGTGAAATCCGAAATTGTGCAATCGCACAACGTCACGTCCGTTAATTTTACAACAACACACATGGATTAACATCGATTTAAAGGTGGGGTATGTAATTTATTTCAGAAACACTTTTTGTTATATTCCATGGAATGCTCTTAACATCCCAATAGCAATGAATATATTAAATGCTTTGACAATAAATACATGCAAAAAATTCATCTGTGGAAGCCGTAGCACTGTAAAAAGCACGACCAATCATTTTAGCCGGCCCGGCTAAAATAACTGGATGGCCTACCTGCCTGTCAGCCTTCCATCTGTGCACAAACTTATCTCGTGCCCTCATTGGTCATGTGCGCGTTCGTGTGTGTTGGAGGAGGGGCTCTGTAAGGAAGTCTGAAGGAAGAGGCAGATTTATTCCGGTTGTGTACTTTCAAATTTTAGCGCAATCGAGCTGGTTTCTCCAAAATTACATACCCCACCTTTAAGGCTGATGCTTTTATCTAACATATTTATTAAAACATTTTACAGCATACATTATGCTGTCTTATGACACATATTATTATGTATCATATTATAAAAGTATTAACAATATACATTTTGTGTGTTTGTAAGGTGGGGTTGGCTTGAGAGGTGGGAGGGGAAAAAGACAGCGTTGGAGGGATGTAAGGAGAAATGTTGTGTGATCCTAGCACAGGAACCTCTAATGTAGGACTGTGACTCCAGAAAATCACAGAAGAAACATCCGAGATCTCTGTCCAGAAGAGCGCAGTCCTAGGAACAGCTAATATACTGCACAGAACCCTCAGACTCCCAGGCCTCTGGGCTCTGGCAGAGGACCCAAGCTTGGAAAAACAAAAGACTGCCCAGGATGAGGCGAGTGGCGCTCGCTTTTTTGTGGCATATTGGTGATGACGTTCAGGCAGGTATACAACTTGTGGGATTTAAAGCATCCTGTTTGTTGCCATGTCTGAACTGTTCAGCTGGGCATGTGGCTGCAGCAGCTGACCAGAAAGGTGTATTTAAGTTGTCAGAAGGTGTGTGTGCCTTCACCTAAACAACTCCTCAAGCCTGTAATTAGTAAAAGGTGAGAGGTGAGATGAGAGACCACTGCTTGTTTTTAACAGACCCCTGTATACTTGTCAGCCACCTGTAATGAGTGTATACAACCACTCTCACTGTTAAAGTTTTATTTTTTAACTACAATTTCTTTCATGGTCAGTTGTCCTACACCAAATGTATCGGAAAGGACAACTTCCTTCACCTTCTTATCATTTTGGGACAAGTTAGGTCTTAACTTAAGAAAAACTTCCTAGGTCTCCCAATAGCCCCGACACATATGCATTAGTCTTTGAAATGTAAGAAAAAACATGTTCTCCAAGTAAAAATGTGAAAATATCACATCTTATTCAACCCTGACCGACAGCTGCAGAGGAATTTTAGTGATTGATCGGTGGTCGTCCTTGGTTTCTTATGGTTGTTAGGGGACGAGTTGGTCGTTAGGGAAGGAACCGGTGGTTAGGGGGCGTCCAGGTGTCAGCGGGATGACAGAACCCATCATTTGGTTTCTGGGGCAGCTGGCCTTACCGGGACAGAGGGACATCAAACAACCCACAGCTGGAGGAAGAGTGAGAGGAGAGGAGACAAGAAAATGAAAATGACAAGGTCTAGTAGAGGAAGATGTGAAAAATGGGAACTGGAGAAGAGAGACAAATGTAGAAAATCTGATTTAAAGGTGATGTAAGGGACAGAAATATTTGATTTAAGTGTTGAGCTAAATTGCTGTGGACTCTATGTTCGTCCACAGTGTCTTTCACTATTTTGTGTTCTTTTCTTCTTGTTTTTTGTGGTAAATGTGGCCAGCTAAGATACACCCATTGAATTACTAAATACAGAGAAACACTGACTAAATCCTTTTTTAAATCATCACATATGGTTGATTCCCAAGAAAGTAATAGAGAGAAACACTAACTAAAATATATTTTAAATCATCACATATGGTTGGTTGTAGAGAAAGCAGAAAGAATCTACTTTTTCTTTTCTCTTTTCTTTTTTGCAAATCTTTCCGTGAGGGCTCTGTCCTTCTCAAATCTGCATGAGCTCACAATTTTAACATGTTTGTTATGTTCTGTAACATAATGTAAGCCAGTGGGTGTTTCCTCCTCTGGGTCTTTTTATAAGATGCATCTTAGGAGAAACTTTACTTTTATATCATAAAAATATATATAAATGGTTGATATGCTTGAAGGGCAAATTATGTTACAGTCAATGGTTTTACCAGACACAGCACCAGCCTTGGACAGCCTGCGTTTTCGTTTGCCAGTTTCACATATACAAGCTTCATACAGTATATGCAGTCAGTCTGTCATATTCAGGTCAATAGATACATCTCAATGTAATTGCACTAAAGTAGTAAAAGATGACAACTACCTTATCTTTAGAGAACATTGAAGTATCCTGTACGCATGGAAGTCTATGATTGTTCATGTGACTGCCAATATGCTTGTTAAAGAGTTACTGTGTCACTGTGCGTGTGTGTGTGTGTGTGTGTGTGTGTGTGTGTGTGTGTGTGTGTGTGTGTGTGTGTGTGTGTGTGTGTGTGTGTGTGTGTGTGTGTGTGTGTGTGTGTGTGTGTGTGTGTGTGTGTGTGTGTGTTTGCAGTTGTTCTCGAAAGTGATTCAGTTCTCCTTCATCATTGATTCCCACACAAAGGATGACGTTTTACCATCAGATAAAAAAAATGTAATTCTCTGGCCAGGAATCAACCCCCACAGAGACACACTCCAAAAGTCTTGATCTAGAGATGTTATGGTATAATATTTGCATGGACATTAATGATGTGGAGAACTTCAAACCCATATGGGTGCAATATATTCCCTGGCTGAATGTGTCACTTCTGGGCAGAGGACTGATTTAGCCCAGTAAACACAAAATGTAGCGCAGCTTGCTTGGCTCTTTAATTTTCCACTGTGTTTTGTCAGGGATTAAGAACAAAAAAGAGTTGGAAATATCAGAAATGACTTGAAATGTCAAGCGCAACTTATTGTGGAGGAATTGAGTGGGATGGAGCACAGATAATGTGTTTCGCCTACCTGTAGCAGTAGCAGAAACATGACATTTCAGATCAAAATATTTGAAGATTGGCAACTGAACGACATCGCAGCTGTTCACAATGTAAGTGTGAAATTGCCAAACTGAGAATTTCACAACTTTTCCAAGAACCTCATTTTTATTCTGATTGTGCAAGTGCTAAATGTCCATATGTTTGTGTGTGAAAACCACAAAGATATACGAGTCACATATTTGTGGAGAAAGCGCTACGATGTCCGTGATACAAGATTATTCAATCGGGACCCTGTGAAAGCAGCAGGAGTGAGAAAGACAAGCAGAATGTTATCCTGCAGAGCTCTGTGAAGTCTCATGAGGACACTGGCAGCAGTATGGAGAGAGATGACGCCACTGTATTGTCTCTCTCTGTCTCTGTCTTTATGCCTCTGTCTTTGTCTGTCTCTCTGTTTGGCCCCGGGCCCTTTGGCCTGAGACACAGGAGGACACAGATGTCCTGCAACACGCCTTTATACCATAAACTTACAAACAAGTTGTGCATCTAAATCCAATCCAAATGTTGTATTCTCCCCCTTTCTGGCAGACAGCCTGATCTAAGACGCTGGTCTCCTGCAGTGAATAACCAGCAGTCACTGAGCTATGACACAAGCATTCTCAAAAGTCTTTCAGGGAATACTGTGAACTCTGTCCAAGACGGGAGCCAAATTCAGTTTTCCACTGTGACAGCTTAATAGCTGCCATGTCTGATTATACACACACACACACACACACACCATACACACACGCACACACACACTGCGAGCATTGAGACACAGTAACTCTTTAACAAACATATCGGCAGTGACATGTACAATCATAGACTTACATGCGTACAGGTTACTACAATATTCTCTAAAGATATATCATATTTTGCAGCTTTTGGTGCAATTACATTTGGATTTAGCTATTGACATTGGATATCACACACCCACACACACACACACACACACACACACACACACACACACACACACACACACACACACACACACACACACACACCACACACACACACACACACACACACACACACTTACTGTGGTATTTTTATGTTAAATCTTTCCTCTCAGCAGTGAAACGAAGAAAAAAGGGCATATCTCTGAACAAGAAAAGGCTTTTACAGTGAAAACAAGAAGAAGGTCTATCCAGAGTGATGTGTTTCTAAAACCTCATATTCTTGCATGACAATTTATGGGAAGAGATATTGTTTTTGGCTTGAGGATACACTACAGGAGTCTGTCATCAAATCATAAACACTCATCATGAGCTGTCAAGACATTCTTACTGAGGTGCAAAATGGGTGTGATTTAAACTAGCAACAACTTTTTAAAACGTGCATACAATTTCCAAACACTTTCTCTCAACACTTCTCCTTACACCCCTCAAAACGCTGTCTTTTTTCCCTCCCACCTCTCAAGCCAACCCCAGCTCACAAACACACACACACTCCCATTAAACATATGTTTGTGTGTGTGAGTGTCCTCCTCCCTCAGTCTATCCATGGCTGGATTGTGGCAGCAGCTCCTGCCCCTACAGCAGGGTCGAGCTCTGCTTCTCCTTCCCTTCATCTGTCTTTTCTACCCACCCTCGAGTGCTATTCCCTGGGATTCCAAAGCCAGTCCACTCCCTCTGAAGGTAGGATATCCAGATGGCCATGGAAAAACTATAACAATTATTATCATAGCTAAAATGTTATGCAATGTTATGCTTTCTAATACTTTTGTAAGTGAATTTTGGCACAAAATATATTATTTGTGAGATCCTTGTTTTCTTATTTATGAAGGACATTTTTAACTTTACCCAATATAACTTAAGCTTATTTGAAGTTGTTTTGCTTATGCATACCACAGCTACAATTATTTATCAGAATCAGGGGAATAACTGCATGACATGGCATGTTTTATATTATCTGTGTTTTTGTCACTAAGGATAACTAATCACTAACAGATCCAGTTTTTTCAGGATTGTGAATAAAACAATAAAAACCAGAAGGACCAGATAGACATGACACGAAAAACAACATAAGAGTTAAACTAGTAAAATAGAGATTTGTACACGGGGAGGGGAGAGGGAGACCAACAAGGCTTCAACTCGAACCAAATGTTGGTCTGGACTGAGTGAGCTTAGGGATTTCCAGAAAGAGGGGTACTAAAGTAAAATGGATTAGTGAAAATGAGAGAAAAAAGTGCAATGTGATCCAGCGGAATTTATGATTATACTATTCCAACACATGCCAGTGATGGTGAAACCTTGGTAGAGGTGAGCTAGCATGCAGCGAGTCTGCAGATGAGTGGGCACATACAGTGTTTGTACCTGTGGCTTTTTGTGCACTAAAATGTGTGAACATGTGTGTTGGCAGGGTTTTGAGGTGGTGAAGGGACATTTCTCCAGGACCTTCCTTCGTGTTGGCTACCATAAAATAACAGAGATTCCTGCAGGAGCATGCAACATCAGCATACAGGAGACAATAAAGAGCCGAAACTACCTGGGTACACACACACACACACACACACACACACACACACACACACACACACACACACACACACACACACACACACACACACACACACACACACACACACACACACACACACACGCACACAAAAATGGAAGACATATTTTTGATGACAAAGTGTAGGATGAATATGGCGTTTTCCTCCAGCTCTGCAGACACAAAGTGGTGTCTCCATCATCAACGGCAACTGGGTGATTGACAGGCCGGGGATCTTCACCGTTGTAGGAACGGAGCTGACGTACAAACGGCCCAATGAAATCCGCTCTCGCAATGGAGAGTCCATTACTTCACCCGGGCCACTGTCTGAAGACCTGCATGTTTATGTGAGACACAAACTAAAACACACTATGAGAGCTGCCTTTGTGTTAGTGCATTCAAATGCACTAACACAAACAAAACTACTTGTACTACAATGCTGTACAATACATCATCATCACTTTCTCTTTCACACAGATAATCTACCAGCAACCAGGTCCGAGAGTATACTATGAATACATTGTGCCATTACAAAGCACAACCCCCACTCCTGAGCAGACCACACCTGCTACTATTCTGCCCTTGGGTGAGTGCATACACTAACACACACTTAAAACCATATTGGAGTGAGCCTAAATAACAACAGTGTCCAATTCCTCATACTGAATATTCTGGTTTGCCCTCAGGGAGCATAACACAGAACAGATTTGTTTCTGCATGAACAGGGCAGAGTGTGTGGTTGTTTAGTTCAAATTTCAGGGTAACACCAATATGTATCATTTTCCGCAAAATTGTCTTTTCGAAAATTTGATTAGGATTTAGATAACATTTGAAACAGGCAGGCAGCCAAACGTTGTTCTGGCACAGAGCTCTTTACCGCACACTGAGATATGAATCAGTTACTTGAGCCTGATTTCATTTCAATAACTAATATTAAACCTTCATTAAATACTGTATATTTGAGATGTTGCTTAATTTAATGTATGCCTTTTGATGCTGATGAATATTGATTTAAGTACAAGAGTTCTCAAAAACACCTATGCTTTAAGCCCCCTGTTTATACTGTTGCTGATTAGACCTCTATTCTGGCTGATGCTGGACTAATGCTCGGAATTACAAGATCTTACCAGACTCCATGGCTATGTCTAAAATGACTCCCTACAGTATGCACTTAATCTAATTATAAGAGCGATAATGGAGTAACTTTACCCAACCAAAACAGTGTACCAATGCAAACAGCAGTGTGAGGGAGATGTCAATCAATCAACCACACTTGCATGCACAGACCTGAGAAGAAGCTCTAATTTGGCAAAATTATTGAAATCCTCTGTGTTGGATATCATGGATAAACTGGGTCTTTAACAATATGATATTTCATTTAAGGCATCATATCCTATTTCTATCTATTCAACTTCTTAAAACGTTTTGTTGACCTTTCGTCCATTACTTGCCTGACAAATTAGGGCTTCAACCTCAAACTGTCTCTACTCTTGTAGCTGAGACAGTGGGCCCAACCCAACCAGGGGAGAAGGAGCACCAAGGCGAGGTCACTAACAATGACATCATCAAAGAGAAACCCCATCCTAACCAGATTCCCCCTGAGCCCAGCGTGAAACCCCAACCCACCTACACCTGGACAAACAGTGGGCGGATGGAGTGCAGCACTACCTGTGGGACTGGTGAGGAAACACACGTATTTCAAAGAAAGGGCGACCACACATTTAAATAAAACTTTCCAAATCTCTATCTCTCTTTTGTGAATGATACCCATGCTCTATGGAACATTCTTCTTTTGATAATAAGATGTTAGAAAATCAAATATGACAGACTTACAGTTAATGACAGCTTGAACTATTAACAGTACCTACGCAAACTACATACTTTGTATCATTATTTCTAATGGAAATGACCTAATGTTTGGCAAAATGTGTACACATTCACTTGCTTAGTCTTTTTTCTGTGTGTGTGTGTTTGTGTGTGTGTGTGTGTGTGTGTGTGTGTGTGTGTGTGCGTGTATGTGTGTGTGGGTGTGTGTGTATGTGTGTGTGTGTGTTTGTTTGCGCAGGCAGGCGTCAGGTACTCTGGGAGTGTGTTGAGAAAGATTCCCAGACGACTGTTCCTGCTGACCTCTGTGACCCTGCGCTTGAACCAAAAAACAAGGGAGAAGAGTGCAACATGCAGTCCTGTCCTGCATAGTGAGCTGCACACACACACACGCACGCACGCACGCACGCACACACACACACACACACACACACACACACACGCACGCACACACGCACAAAAACACACACACACACACACACACACAAACACATGGTGTAGTGTCTCTCAGCGTGAAGCCTTCATCATTCACACACATTCAAGTCATGAGTCAGTTACCCGTCAGAGTCAATCACACTGACTCTCTTTGGTGTGGCTTTGGTTTTCCTGTCTTGGTAACTCACAACAGATCTTACTGTGCTACGATCTAGCAGGGTGTAAGTGTATGTTAGCTGTGAGTCTGAAATATTTGTTTCTATTGGGAAAAAAGCAGCAGAGGATTGCAGAAATTAAACGTTAGAAGTGAAAAGGATGAGGAGAAACATCTATACTAGTGCACCACAAATTGGCTTTATTTGCTTTTGTTCAATTATGATCTCCTTTGAGGAGACTACGTTGGTAAAATTAAGGACATTGAGCTGGGACTTGAAGAAGATCATGCTAAATGTAAGTCTCAGTGTGTAACCACATATTTTGTGACAGACTGCAAACTGCTCTTGATTTTCTCCCACTCATCCTTTGTTTTTGCTGACAGCTTTGACCTGGGGGAGTGGTCAGAGTGCAGCAGGAGGTGTGGGCCTGGCACTCAGCACCGCCAGGTCATCTGTAGCCAGGTCACTCATGTTCACGCCAATGGGACGGAGACATCGGTTACAGCGGCACAGGAACTGTGTGGGACGTCTGATAGGCCGGTGACCAAGTCTACATGCCAGCTGAAGATTTGCAGCCAGTGGGAGATACGATCTGAGTGGAGCTCGGTGAGAACAATACCTATGTAACAATAACAATACATATTTCATTCAATTATAATATGATTTGTACATTATATCTGAATCTGCACAGTAACGTACAACTGTAATTGTGAAGAGCAATAAAGTACACTTCTGAAATATAGTGGAGTACAGACTAGTTATAAAGTTATTTAAAATTGTAATATTCAGTAACGAAGATTCAAGATTCACAGTGCAGATATGGCAATGAAAAACTTAAGTCACAGGCTCCTCCAACAGTGCAACATATATATATAGGAAATAGAACAAATAAAACAGATAAAGAGCAAGTCCTTCCAAACTGAATGGACACAATTCTTTGGTCCTAGGGAATTCTAAAATGTCTATACCCCCAAAAAAGCTAAACAATATGTGAGCTATAGTTGCATGTCTACAGTCATTAAACAGGCATTTAAAAAGACACACTATTTAGCATTCTGATAATGAAACATCTACCCCTTTCTCTCTTCCACCTTCTGTCCCCCAGTGTTCAGTACCATGTGGAGTGGGCCAGCGCAGCAGGGAGGTGGTGTGTGTGAGCAACCAGGGTGAGGTGGAGGAGGATGAAGAGTGCAACATGAACCTAAGACCAGACACTCTGCAGAACTGTGACATGGGAGCCTGTGCACGCAGCTGGTTCACCTCCCTCTGGAGCCAACGGGTAACAGAAACAAGTTAGAGTGTGTGTGTGTGTGTGTGTGTGTGTGTGGTGTGTGTGTGTGTGTGTGTGTGTGTGGTGTGTGTGTGTGTGTGTGTGTGTGTGTGTGTGTGTGTGTGTGTGTGTGTGTGTGTGTGTGTGTGTGTGTGTGTGTGTGTGTGTGTGTGTGTGTGTGTGTGTGTGGGAGGAGGATGGGACACAACAGGGAATAAGGGAAAGAAGGTAAGAACTAAGTTACTTCGATTAAAAGTTTATGTGAGTGTAATGTTTTTTCAGTGTTCAACAGAGTGTGGACAAGGCAATCAAACACGGACCACAGTGTGTCTGATGGATCATGTGACTGATCTGCCATTGGACAGCTGCGAGGGGGAACGCCCAGCAGAATTTAAATCATGTGACTCAGGCCCCTGCAAGAACAGCCTGGAGTGGTACACCGGACCCTGGGGTCAGGTAATTGACATGAACACAGACACATACAGCTGAAAACATAACACATTTGAACCTTTACCTTTTCCTCTTGTGTGTGTGTGTGTGTGTGTGTGTGTGTGTGTGTGTGTGTGTGTGTGTGTGTGTGTGTGTGTGTGTGTGTGTGTGTGTGTGTGTGTGTGTGTGTGTGTGTGTGTGTGTGATGTGAAGTGTTCTGCAGAGTGCGGGAATGGCACACAGTCCCGGAGTGTGGCTTGTATTTTCAACGACGATGGTCGTATGGAGGTTGTGGACCAGTTCAAATGTTCCAGTCTCTCTCAGCCAATCACAGCTCAGCCCTGCAGACTGAAGCCATGCGGTGTCCAGTGGTACGTCACAGAGTGGAGCGTGGTAAGTGTCTCAAAGTCTTCCCTTCTTCCACTATGCAAGACAATGCCCCTCATGTGGTATCAGTCAGAGCCATAGTCAATAGTTGGGACACTTGGTTGTGTCAATTAAACATTAAATGTTCAAACAACATTTGTGATCAGATCAAATCACCATCAGGTCCTTTAAGTATTATTCAAAAGGTCTTGACCTTAACAGTTTCAGAGGGTATATATTTTTTTATAAAGTCTTTATAGTGTTCAAAACTGTCTGTTTATTATCTAGAGTCACCAGGACAGACAGTATGCTGATGAGATTTATGAATGTCATCTTTAAAGGGGACATACTGTATCACAAGAAACTCACTTTTTCAGTACTGGTGCATATACTGTACATTTTGGTATCTGTAGTGCCTACCAACCCATAAACATACAAATAGGAAATTCCAGTAGGTTTTTTGTGAGCTTCCTTATTGAAAACACAAGGGATTCAACAAGCCATTCAGATGTGGCTCCCTTCTTTTGTCACATTCAGTTTAATAAGAACCAACTTTGCAATTTTTCTCAAATGTATTTGCATGGCCAGATATCACAACTTCTTTAGAATTAGTTCAAAAGGTGATGGATTTAGTTGTGACGACTAAGTGGTGTCCATATTTAGGACTCCAATCAAATGATGTATACTGTACTGTATGTGCGACTCTTCCTCTCTGTCTTCACTCTCTCTTTCTAACACCTCAGTGTTCACGCTCCTGCAACACGGGCTACCGTGTGCGTGAGGTGCGCTGTCTTGCCGACAACATTTCCCCAAGCGACCGCTGTGACCCGACTTTGACCCCAGAAAGCCGAGAAGAGTGCAACAAACATCCCTGTGTAGCTGAGATAAGTGAGTCTGTCAGCCAGTGTTGTACTACCCTCCTGTGCCCACTGTCAGTGCAGCTGGGTCAGAGTGCACACGAGGGTCAGAGAGGACCTGTTTGGAGTGAGATTTCTCTGTGATGCTGTCAATGTTACCTTGAAGATGTTCATATGGAGGAAGAATTGAGCGGTTGAAAAAAAACATGGCGATAAAAAATGGTTTAGAATGACTTTGACTCCACTTTGAGGGCTTAGGTACTGCCTTGAGACTCATATTGTAGAGCAGGGGTGTCCAAACTACGGCCTGGGGGCCAAATGCGGCCCGCGGGCCATTTTAAATCGGCCCTCAGCGATTTCAAAAAGTATAATGAAATATGGCCCACAAATGAAACTTGTACTTGTCTTATATTGTACTTCTTAACTATACATGTAAACTTATATTACACAGTAGTATTCATGTGTTAAGACCACTTTTCAAATAAATTCAGTCAATTAAAGTTGGAAACATTTTCTAACATATCTTAGTTGATAAGAAAAAAGCCCAATGACTTGTTTACATAACAAGCTTGAAATACACCCTTCCTATTTGTCCTTATTATAATCAATCTGAGGCTTCTGCTTTAAGGGATGAGCTGCCACCACTCACAAGCATAATTTACCTACATTTGATTGATTTTGCTAACTTATACCTTAACTTATGAGGCGATATACCTCTAGTTAGTGGCCCAGCCCTTCGTATATTTTCCTGTATGTGGCCCTCGGTGAAAAAGGTTTGGACACCCCTGTTGTAGAGGATACAACTGAATGGAATAAGGACATTTGCACTAACTTGTGCCTCCTTCCCTTTAACAGATCCATCCTGCAGCGACCAGTATCATAACTGTGTGGTGGTGGTCCAGGCTCGTCTCTGTGTGTACCCTTACTACAGAAGTGTCTGCTGCGCCTCCTGCTCCCGTTCCCTCAAAACATACCCCAACTCATTTCAGAGGAACCACATCCGCAGATAATGCTGCGACTGAGACTGTTTCATCATCACACCAAACCACATGAAGAATAATATCAATTTACAGACACACACACAAAATGTAGTTTTAGAGTGTTTTCATTCTCAGTGTAACTTTTAACTGGTAAAATATAAGAACTTGTATATTTATTCTTAAAAAAGGCTGTTTAACTTTTTTTTTTACTTAGCTGTTGTTTGTTATAATAGAAACTTGGTGGAAGGATGAAGCATGAGCCATGGAAGATCCCATCACATTATGGAGATGATCTGAATCACAAACCACATTCTTCAAATGTGTTTACTTTGCAAGATGTGGCATTCTAATCATTCATATTGGCTTTTTAAATATCCTTTTTGTTATGTTTCCTGTATAAGTGATGGGGGACAAAATCCTCAATTTCCAGAAAAACTGTGTGATAGAATTAAAATAAAAAACTATGACATCTGACGCTAAAATTAAACTTGCTGGACTAAAAGAAGCTTTTGAATATTTCTATTCTAAGACAAGCAATGTCAAATTTTACACCCAGTACAAAAGTCCTGTTTTTAATGAGATATGTAAGGAAACAATGCAGTGAAATAACTACATTTATATACTTTAAACTATATAAATGTTTACTTTTTATATACAAAAACGTAATTTTATTAAGCAACTAGTAATTTATGGCCAGAAAACATCGTTATGGAGCAAAAATGTACTTTCCTAAACCTATATCTATAGGCCTAAAGCTGGCTGCTTTTAAAATTGGGGTGAGGAAAACTGAGAAATGCTTTTTTAAACATCAACATTGAATGGAAAGTGAAGATTTTATGGGGAAATATTCACTGAAAACATGGTGTATTTTATGTATAAAAGCATCTAACAAGTGACATGTAATAATAATGTATGCACAACTCTATCCAGTGGGAAATAGATCACATAAACCTTGTACTCATTCAAGATAGTAATACCGTTGCTTTAATGGGACAGCCGGGCTGACATGTAAAAGGCCATAATTCACGAGAACGTAAAGCACATAAGAAAACATTAAATGAACACCAATGACAAACGCATGTTGCATTCTCTGTTTCTCATACAACTAATTATTGTAGCATTGGAACCAGTCTTTTACACACACAATCTCCCATTTTGTATCTTCAAATCTTTAGTAATGTTCCCGAGGTGCTCCAGTCTTTGTGTCCGTGGATGCAAGGCTGCATTGGTAGGTCCATGCTTGTTTGCACTTGTTGCTGTGTGATAGGAAAGATTCTTTAGGGTGAGCCTGGGCCTTTGGTATTGAGGGATGCAGGGTCCACATTCACCAACAATATCACCGTCTGTCTGACTTAATTGCTCGGACTCCATTATCCAGAAAACATTCAAGGCTCGCTTTCCATGCTGATACACCTTTACCCTTTATAAATATATTTTTGTACTCAGACACCAGGCTGGACTTCTGTGAACAAAAATGGCAGCTGCTAGTATTTTTTTTGCTCTTTTTGTTGTCTTGGTAGCTCTCTTTTGTCTTGTCCTTGGCATTGGGTACCAGACGAAAAAGAAGTTAATGTAATTGTTATTGAGTTTAACAATAAGCTGTCTAAAAACATACTTGTTAGCTTCCCCTGACCCCCCCCCCCCCTCTATTTTCCTAGAATTGAACAATCACTATTTATACAAGTCAGTTCTGAAAATACAATGGCAAGTGACACTTTCCACCAAAATCTCATTGTGAAAAACAAAAAATATATTTCACTCCCCACCTGATTTGTTCAGCTTATCAAATGCTTTAACTACTCTGTTTTTCTTTGTAGCCTCGTACCAACATTCACTGATTTCAATATTGTAGAAGTTTTACAAAGACATAAATATAGTAGGATACAATACAGTAAAAAATACAAAATAAAGTTGATATACTTTTTTTTCTTAAATGATAATTTACCAGAGGCAAACCCAGAAATGGATCTTTGACACTAGGCAAAAACACTAGAATTACCCCCTGAGGTCAAATGATAAGAGAATAGCCATGTCTCAAACCAGAGCTTAGTCCCAGGTTACTCACTACTCTCCCGTTATTCACAAGTAGTGTACTATGTACAGGACTATAGGCAAAATGTGGGTGTCCTGTCTGGAACATAGTCAACGTGTACTATTCAAGTGCACTCGTTTGGGTGTTATTACTATACTAGCGAGACATTAAGCCAAGGAAACTTGAAGGCACAATTATCTGAGGCAGAATATGCCCCGAGAATTAAAAACAACAGTTGTGGTATTAAGGGAGTAAGATTTAAAAAGGGAAAGAACAAAAGGGGAAATTAAAGTTTACAGTTTCAGATATGGTTTCGGTCTGAGAATGACGAGGCAGTGAATCAAGTTAAGGCCAAATTACTTAAGACCGTCCAATCAGAACGCTCCAACAGTAAAGATGATGTAAGACCTGATAAATCCCACAGATTTGCAATATGATATCATTTTTGATAACGGAACTCTTTTCTGTATTTTGTCATAGCCTGGCTCGCTACATAGATATTTATTCTGATGGTTAAGTCAATTTGTATTAAACAAGGCTTTTTTTGCTCTTCTTTTAGAGGTTGTTATTATGCACAATAATGTATAAATGTATGTTACAAGAATATACATGGGCTTCAGTCTATAATATCTCAGTAAGGAGTACATCCAAGCATTCAGGGTGAGGACTTTGGCTTTGAAAAGTGAGTCTACATATGCACAAATATGAAACACAAGTAGAAAATGCACCATAGAAAAAAAAGGACATGAAAAAAAAAAAAAAACGGAAACGGACTAAATGGCTCACACACTGATCTACTGTCGCTTACGACCATTTGCTCACACAAGCATTTCCTCTGAAAAAAAAAAAAAAAAGGTTTTCAAGTTTCACCTTTTTACACCCTTCACATTTCCTCTGTCATCACAGAGTTGTTCAGGGTTGAAAAGGATGAAATAAAATAAAAAAAGAACAAGACTGGGGTTTGGAGGGCTTCAAGGGAAAGATTTCAAGTTTGTCATTCCTCATGTGCAAGTCAATATAAAAAAATGCTACAACTCGTACAACTCTCTTGTCAACAAGACAGGTTCAGGGCAGGCCAAGTCCCCTCGCAGTTTGCTAAATAAAAAGGGGCTCGGAAATTGGCAGGACAGCTTGCTTCATCGGTGACGCAATGCACGGTCTCCACTCCCTGCATGTTATATCTCCAGCTCTCCACCTCCTCCGTCTATCAATTCATGCGAAGGAAGAGCAGCTGTGGGAGTCTGAATCTTTACATTGAGAGCCGAAACTAGAAATCCATCATCAGTCTTTTTTTTATTTTCTCGCTCTTCTCCTCTGGATCTTCATTCTTTCGTTCCTATGATTTCGGCTTATGTTGGCTATCCCACTCGTTGTATTCTACGTGTGTCCCTCACTCGCTGTCAGTCTCTAGGTCTGAGTCGGACCACTGCACTGGGCTCAGTTTTCCATTGCGCTGGGCATACTCGATGACTGCTGTGTAGCAGAAGTAGTACTGGTCCCAGGTCTGGATGCTGAAAGCCCTCTGTGTGCGCATCCGTCGCACCGTCTGACGGATGTCCACTGAGCCGATGTCCTCCAGCCGGGACAGGCAGATGTCCAGTGTACAGAACGTGCCTGTCAGGGAGGGGAGATGGATAAAGAGAGGATGAAAAGGTGAACAAAACAAGTTACCAAATTGCATACACATACTTGGCACGTTATAAAAAAGACTCAACATATCACAGAAAAAAAACATCTCTCAGTGCAAAAAATGTACTGAGAGATTTTATTGAATTTTGGGGAAGATAAAATCATTTTTTCACAAATGTAACAATTCTTGGATCCATTTTAGATGCTAAAGTACAATTACTTGATATTTTCAAACTTTAGCTGTTTTGGTAAATGAAACAAATGTTTTTTAAGCTAGACGTTTACAAAGAAAGTGTCCAAGTATACTGAGACTTATGTAGTAGTTAGAATTGAAAAATATCTTTGAAAACTCGTCTTACTAAATTGTTTTGTTTTACAGTTACACCAACACTGTAGGCCAACATAAAGCCACACATTACTCAAAAGGAACAATGTCTCAGCATAAACATATAGGTTTAATTGTTATCCTTGTTTGATGTTGCAAATGGAGCTGCTGTGATGCAAGAAAAATGTCAGACTTGATCTGACAATAAAGTATGACCGTATCGTAGATCAATTAAAGTGTACAAAAAAAAAAGTATGAAAAAGTATATTTATAATACTAGAAGTTCTGGTCTATGATTATGAAAATAAGACAATCCTGTTTCTAATCCCGGTTTGGAAAACTCAAGTGTCAAAGCAGCAACAGCAACGAGAGTGAAACACAGGATAGTGAAGATATCACTTTACCTGTGCGGCCAATGCCGGCACTGCAGTGCACAACCACAGGGGGGCCCCCTGGAGGGCCCGTCCAGCTGGAGCCCAGGCTCTGGACCGCAGCCTCCCTCCTCCTCAGGACATGCTCACGGAAGTCCAACATGGCTGTAGCACATTTGGGGACCCCAAAGTCTGGCCAGCTGACATAGAGGTAGTGGCACACCTCCCGTCGCTCCCCAGACTGAAGAAAAGCCATAAAGGACCACAGAAAAAGACAGAAAGATATCAGACAAATAGCATGTACAAGCCTGTAGGCCAGTATCCATGTCAAGTATGATTGTGAAATAAAATGAAACGGTAATATATACAAAAAAAATGTAGGAGATAGCACTGACAGGAATTCCACAAACTAAATGCAGCTGTGTCATATCGAGTTATCTTTGATTAGATCTTTATATACATGTGAGGCTATTTAAGGACATTTTTTCCAATGAACATAATTAAGAATTGATCTACTACTACAAGTACAAATGCTGTCAGCATGACGTACCTGTGTGTTGTAAAGTTCAAGATGAGAGAGTTTGAAGTCCTGAAACACCTGGACGTGTGTGTTCCTGACCAGGAAGTATCCGTGCTGCTCAGTCCTTCCATCCTCCAGAGGCCAGTACTGACCACACTTAACACGCCCGCGCTCCACCACCCTGAGACACAGTTACACATCTCTTTAGCTCATCATCAGCCCATCAAGGATATGCTGTTACTAGGACTACCACTTTGTACACAAAGTAAGGATGTAGGGGAGTTTCACGATAGTATGTTTGTGATACTGTATCAATTTTTTATTAATAGTTTTCATGCAAAGGAACTCAGTTGTTGACTTTGTGTTGATGTGATATATCTTGTTGCTTAAGATATGGCAATATATTGAATAGTCACCCCTGTAGCATGATCGTTTAGGCATCGTATCCCCTGGTTTTTGACAATAAACAGCCCTAATACACACAGCTTTTGCAAATCCTTTACACACAATTTACTTCCAAACTAAGATGTAAAATAATTCTCACCTGGTAGTCATGACGATGATAAGTACCATCTGTTCCCAGACCATGCGCCAGAAGTCACCAAAAGTTTTTGGCAAAGGACCTGAAGGACACAAAATCTGTCAGGTCATGGTCCCACTGAGGTCTGCGGGAGGACTGAGTTGCGTTGGAGCAAAACAAAAAGTGTAAATGGCAGAGTAAAGTGCTCACCCTGAGTTGCGATGTAGGCGTTGGTCCTCTTGTACCCATCCATGAAACTGGCATTTATGTAGTCTGGTGTCTGAAAAACACAGCAGAAACGTGGTGAGACTCCCTGCTGTTAGAATCTACTTTTACATTTAACTTTGGTTTATTTTTAGGCCAGATAATTGCAGTTAATGGTTTAAACGGTAGACTGGAGTCACATAAAAAAGTTATTATAATGACTATAATAAATTACAACCAATTTAACTTCATAGTTTTGGTCATTATAACCATATATTCCGAAGCCAAGGTGGCAAACAACGAGCATTCAGCCTTCCAATCACACATAAAACATATGAAGACATAAAAAGAAATAGATCAAACTTTTGGTTCAATTTTTTGTATTTTTTAAAGCTAAGAGAGAGAGAGTTGAAGTTTAGTGAATAAATGATTACCTCATCTTCGTCATCACAGAGCTCGCAGAGTCGCACCCGTGACTGGTCCAGGCAGAGAACATCGCTGTACCTGTTCTTTATCTGATTTGCCAGTTTTCTGTTAAGGCAGAATACAATGTGAGGAATTCAATATTAAAATGTTATCTTTTACCTATTTCCCCCTTGGTTGAGAGAGACAGAAGCACACAGAATCAAGACAAATGAGACCAATGGATAACATATTCTTATCTCTTACTTGGAGTAGTCAAAGGTGCCTGCTGGGGGCTCCTTTCGTATCTCCTCGTACTCCTGATAAATCCCCTTCTTCTTCTTCCTCTTCACGTGTTCCACCAGATCGGGCACATTCATGCCTCCCTGCTCCGGCATGTGGACAGACATCTCCATGCAGCTGTCCTCCTCATCAGGACCCCACGATGAAGACAGGGGCGGGGACTGGGAGGAGGGCTGGTGGGGGGGTCGAGGCAATGATTTCTGGGGCAAAGGGGGCACGCCTTCCTCTTCCTCCCCATCCTCCCCATCATCCTCCTCCCCTTCCTCCCCATCATCATCCTCTTCCTCCTCCTCCTCTTCCTCTTCCTCTTCCTCGTCATCCTCCTCCTTAACATCGTCGTTCTGAGAGCTTTGGGCAGGGTCTGCTACCTGTCCATCCACTTCATCCCCATCATCTTTATGGGAAAGCGGTGTGTCGGGGGGTGTATCTGATTGGGGAGGGGCTTGGCGGCCACGACCATTAATGTTGGCGTTGGGGCTCGAGCCGCTGACCACCATGTTGTCCCCGCTCACTGCTGAGCCGTTCCAGTGTTGGTGGTTCCCCTGCCGCCTGTTTGCAGCGGACTGAGGGCTCTGCTGGTTCTGCCCCTGGCCTTGAGTCCTGCCCTCCACCACTCCGCAGTGGTTGTGTGGGTTAGCATTAGTATCGTCGTAGCAGTTAGAGTTAGCCACGGCTAGCTCGGAACCTAGCTGTGTGTTTATGTGGGTGTGGGACAGAGTAGCGCCTGCGCTTGTGTTGCTGCACTCTAAGCTGTAGGAGCGCAGCAGGCTCCCCACACAGTCGTGGGAGTCCTGTTCTTGTGTGTCACCCTGATCTGCGTTTGTGTGTGCGTTAACGCAGGACTGGATCCAAGCCACGTGGCTATACTGGGACGTCCCACCCAGGTGTTCAGGGAGGGAGGAGACGGGGATGTGACCGGCCAACTCATGAGCTTTCACTGTGCACACCTGGAGGATGGAGAAGACCAAAACATTTAAAATGACATCCAAACAACATATTCAATATGTTATACTGTGAGTCAAACTGAAAAAGGTGCCATACGTACCCTTTCTCTCAGCTTCTCGCGCACAAATAAGCGGAGGACTGCAAAAGGTGCGCGGAACCAAAGAGGTGATGATACAATGAAGACACACTTCAGACGAGCTGGAAATGCCCCCTAATACAGAGGAATAACAGGGAGAAAAAATGATGAAAGGTGTTTGGGAGGAACTGATTTGACACAAGCACTTGAAGGCAGGCAGATTCGAGAACAACAGAGGGTGCTTCTTATAATTACCTTGAGCAAATTGAGGATTTTGACACAGAGCTCATAGTCAAAGTTGCCATAGCTGGAGTTGGTCATGTCGTAAATAAATATGAGGCCGTCTTTTTGAGTTTGTAAACTGGGAAGCAATGAACAAGATTTTCCAGTTAAAACAGTGGAAGATGGTCAAAAGAAGCTTGCTATAAAAAATAAATATGATTTTATAAAATATAATAGAGAGTAACTTAGAAATAAGGCAGTACTCCAGTATAGCAGAACAATGAG